AATTTCATTAAAAAAAACTGCTACAAAACTCAACTGGTACATTCTTTTTAAATTACTAACTCAATATAGTATTTATCGTTTATCTTGTTAGATATATACATAATATAATGTTTATATCGCCTCAATAAAAACGCAAATCTCGTTATTGAAATATTCATAAATCATTTATGAGTTATTTACCGCTTTATGACATGGAAATAAACTAACAAGGACGCAACTTTGTATTCACAGTTTATACCCGTGTTAACTGTTACTAGAGTGCTTTATTTAGCAGCTTTAACTGCTGGTACTTAACGGGTACTTCTCAAAATCTATATTTTCTATTTTTTTTTTATACCACTTAGGTGGCAAACCAGCATACGGTCCATTTGATGGTAAACGGGTACCGTAACCTATGGAGGCCTGAAACACCGGGGGTGTCACATACGCGTTGCCGACCCTTAAGAAAACCTTAATATACCCTTCTTGAAAAACCCCATGCTGTAGTCTCTCGAGAAAACCTCGGCAGGTAGTTCATTCCACAATCTAAGTGTACGCGGGAGGAAGCTCCTCTGAAACCGCACTGTCCGAGACCACTTAGGTTCCAGCGTGTGGGGATGAATTCCCTGTCGATGGCGATTCTATCTAGTCTATTTTAGATATTAACTCATTATTGCTCCAAATCTGTATGTAATATAAAAAATATTAACAGAGTAGAAAAGCGACAAATTTAATGAAATTTTTAGACGACATTTAGGAGGAGTAAAATAGATAATAAGTAGAGTTCTAATAGAATAGTAAAATGTACTATATAATGTAATCAAAATAACAGTACCTATATAAATATACATTGTAAATAAACTGGCTCTTAAAAAAAAAGTAATTCAATTGAGTTTCTTGCCAGTTCTTCTTAATTGGATCTATATACCGAACTGGACGGTAGGGAAAAAATTAAAATTATAATGTAAAAAAATTACGTTCATAAGCGGTAAAAATGTCCTACATGAATAAATGATTTTGAATTTGAATTTAAAAGTATAATATTACAAATAAATAATAATAAATATTTATTAATTATAATGTACAAATACAATAAATAATATTGGTATTATTAATATAACAAAAAATATTGGTTCTAAGTACAAAGGAACAAAACAATCAAGGAAGGACAACTGACAAAGAAAATTTATGTGGAGACGGTGCGATGTTCAGTGTACACAATAACAAATTTCACAACAGATAGACTGACAAACTGTCTGACCTTCGACTAATAGTACATATTGTTGTAGGTTGACACTTTTTTTTTCGGACTACTCTAATGCTGTTGGCCGCAGCTGGCCTTTGCAGCTTCACCGGACGTTATGGGGCGAGTGCAGATGGCAAACCCGCGGAAGGACTTATGGAGCGGTTGAAGGCCAACTCCTGCATGACGGATACGACTTTAGTCTGAGGGCACCACTAGGGGTTCGAACCTCGGCTCAGGCTGTCGTAATTTCGATCCCCGTTTGAATTGGAGGGGGGATCGATCGGATGGATCGATCGGATCGTTCAGTGTACGTAACGTAGACTGACTTTACACTGAACTTAAATCTATGTTATCTAGAGAGCTACTGTTTTATTTATTTATTTAGACGACCTCGGTGGTCTAGCGGTCTAGCATACCGCTTTATGACCGATGGTCGCAGTTTCGATTCCTCGCACAGCACAAACATTTGTATTCATAAGTATGATTGTTTGTATCGGTCTGGGTGTTTTCTATGTATAATATGTATGTATTTACAAAAAAAAATCTATGTATATGTATCAGTTATCTAGTACCCATAACACAAGTTTTGTGAATTGTCCTGAGATTATTATTATTATTATTATTATTATTACCTTTTTCACAGCTTAAGCTGGTGCCTTGTATCATGTAATGTTATGTTATCTGTGCTAGTACCGAGGACGGGACATGCCAAGTCTCTCATTACTTTATTTTGCTGGATGGTTCATTCTGTGGCATTTAAGAAGCGACGGACTATTGCACATGTATCTAAGACAACAGCCTTTTGTAGATTTTTTTTAATGCATGCAATTAAAAAAAATATTATGCAATCATACACAAGTAAAGAGTACATATGGCGGACTTAACACTTAATGGCATTTTCTACCAGTCAACCATGAGTTGTGCAGAGATACGTTAGTTGTTGTCGGTGCAAATAATGGTAGGATCTCGGGTGTTGGCAGAAATATTACAAGTGTAAGCACCATATTCATAGAGCACGCTACTTCTAAGCCCTCAGATCAGAAAAATAAAAATGGTCATTGCTATTTTGAGAGCACTGTTCTTATAGCTACCCACATATCAATTTACTCGATCCAATAATAATATGTTAATGTGTTCATTTTACGGACTGCCGTCGTGTAGTTTACGACAGACGTAAACGCTACTCTTTTGTGACTTGACTCTGTGTGTTTTGGCGTTGTTTCAATGATTATTTTATTATACTATTGTTGTAAATGTTATTGAAATATTCATATACCGTTGAAGACTTTGTGAAAAGTCTGCGTGGATTCAGCCACCAAGCAGTTTGTAAACGAGTTTCGGTTTTAGAAAGAGATTTTTTTTTAAATATCATTTCATTCATTCATTCATAATTTGGAAGGCATTGGATGCGAGCAGCGCAGGACCGATCGTCGTGGAGATCTTTGGGGGAGGCCTATGTCCAGCAGTGGACGTCTTCCGGGCTGCGATGATGATGATGATGATTATTCATAATTTAAGAGCTACGCTCTTGTCGGTGGAGCTCTTGCCACTTTAAATATCATTTATCGCCCCCAATATCCATTTCCAGTCCTATAAGTTGTTCATACAAACTAATTCTTTATTACATACTAGTAAACCCGGCCACGCGTTGCTATTTGTTGGCTACGGTTTTTAAATAAAATAATATTGCGACAATAAATTAAGATGTAAGCTATCCTATCATTCAATTTGTCACAAATGCACACAATGTGCAATTTTGCAATCAGTTCAATAGTTTAGGAGTCCATCGTCATAGGACAAACAACGTGACACATAATTTTTAAATATACGTTTATCACGACTTATATTTTGCACCTTATCCTGTTTTCTTATTTTTACATTTTTTTTATTTACTATATTACAGTTTGTTTTCTTACAATACTTAATAAACAGTAGCAAAACAAAATACTAAATAAGTCTATTGAGTATTTTCTTTTGCTACTTTTTTCTCTTACTTAAAAACTAAAGGGTAAAGTATATAAATCTATCATAAGACCTGTCATTTTGTATGGATCAGAATGTTGGGCCGTAAAGGGGATGGACGAAAGGCGTGTGCATGTGGCAGAAATGCGAATGTTAAGATGCATGTGTGGGGTTACCAGGAATGACAGAATAAGGAATGTGTATATACGAGGAAGTTTGAAAGTTGCGCCGGTTATAGAAAAGTTGCGAGGTAACAGATTGAGCTGGTATGGACATGTTATGTGGAGGAATGAGGAACATGTCTTATGGAAAGTGTATATTATGAATGTGAATGGATGTAAAGGGAGGGGACGCCCTAAGAAAAGATGGATGGATTGTGTGAAAGATGATATGAATAAAAGAAGAGTATGTTCAGATATGACGACCGATAGAGAGCAGTGGAAGAGAATGACATACTGCGCCGACCCCAAATAATGGGATAAAGGCAAGGCAATGATGACTTTTTTCTCTTACTTTTTACTCCTTTGAATCACTCTTTTACTGCCTAGAAAGAGATTAGAAAGTGGAATTAGGATAATTGGTATGATATTAATGACTGTGGTGATCTGGTGGTATAGCACATGCTTTATTTTAGGGGTTGGTGTATCGGTGTTACCATAACAGAATTCGGTCGTCAGTGCTATGACCATACATATAATTTACTAGCTCTTGCCCGCGGCCTCGCTCGCGTTTATTTATCCCCTTAGGGGTGGAATTTATCAAAATCCTTTCTTAGGGGATGCCTACGTCATAGTAGCTTTATGCATGCAAAGTCTCAACCCGATCGGTTTAAAATTGACAAACTTTCATCCCCTATTTTATCCCCTTGGGGATAGAATTAATCAAAATCTTTTCTTAGCGGATGCCGCCTTTGTACCTGCATGCCAAATTTCAGCCCGATCCGTCCAGTAGTTTGGGCTGTGCGTTGATAGATCACTATGTCAGTAACCTTTGAGTTATATATATTTAGGTATTTATATTTGATTATTATTTCACACGTATATTAATTTATAAAGTATTGATAATATAGGCCATTTGTAGAAAAAAAACTTCCGATAATATCCCTGGTAAATATAGTCCCAAGCTGAGCAGAGCTTGTATTATGGTTAATAGAGATCTGATAGATATGCTTAAATACATTTTCTTTGTTAATACATACATAATATATATATATGTATTAAATACCCGATAATATAGAAAATATCTGAACGGATACAAACAATCATATATATAAATATAAATATTTGTACCGTGCGAGGAATCGAGCCCGCGATCATCGGAGGTAAGGCAGCGTGCTAACTAACTAGACCACTGAGACCGTCAAGAAATATGATTTTCTTTATTCTTTATTGTACACACACATAGGAAAGAAATAACGGTAATAAAGTAAATGTAGTGTAAGAAGGGATTTCTTCCAGCAAACCTAGAAAATGTTATAGTATAATGTGGTCACTAGATCAGGCATACATACTAGAAAAGGAAAAAAAGGAGACATTCAGATTATATATAGCTGTATTCACGACTTCGTCCGCGTGGATAATAACTTTATTTTACTAAAATAAAAGATTTTTTCTAAAATAAAAGTAGCCTAAGTTACTCCTTATTCCATCAGCTACCTACCCAAAAAAGTCCTGTCAAAAACGGTCCAGCCATTTAGTAAAAAACGATTATTTCAATGTTATAAACAGACACTCCAATTTTATTTACATGTATAGATGTATAGATACAGGATGTGTTATCTTTAGTAAAATCTTAATTTTAAATGTTTTTGCAGATTAAAATGGCGACCGAGCAAGCTCAACTGGCGGGGGCTACGACCCCCGGGGCGGACAGTACTGCGGACCCAGCACAAGCGGCCGCAGCCCCACGCAAGCAGGCGCGGCCGAGGGGCAAGCCGCAGCCTGAACGCCCCAAGAGGAGTTTGATGTGTTTAACACTCACAAATCCGTTTAGAAAATTGTGTTATGATATTGTTGAATGGAAGTATCCTTTTTAAAAGCGTTTCTTCATATGTTGACTGTAAAATGTTGTTTGCGAGGGTACCTCATTGCATCTTGTTGTTTCAATTCATCATCATCATCATCATCATCATTTCAGACCGGAAGATGTCCACTGCTGAACAATTATTTATGAAAGAAATATTGTGTTTTGTTATTTAATTTCATTTCATGTTCATGGAGTAGTTCCTAGCAATTGATAAATTACAAAAAAAGTACTTGTATTATAAAAAAATATATATTATTAACGACGATCGTGGGATATAAAAATATTGTGATGTTACCTCAGTTGCAGCTTGTTGTTTCAATTCATCATCATCATCATTTCAGACCGGAAGACGTCCACTGCTGAACAATTGTTTATGAAAGAAATATTGTGTTTTGTTATTTAATTTAATTTCAGTTTTTTATTGAGTACCAAAGTCTATTTTCATGGATATCCTGGCAATTGATAAATTGTAAAAAAAATACTTGTATAATAGAAAATATATGTATATTATGAGTGACGATCGTGCGTTGTATTATATAGTAAAGAAAATTGATTGCACTCATGAAGAAGTGAGCGATGTATAATAAAAATATCGCAATAATAAAATTTAAATTATTGTTATTTATATTATTATTTTGTTATTTATAAAAATAACAATTATTAATAATTATCATTATGATTCCAAATAATAAAACGTTAAAATAAAATGTAATACCGAGTGTGAAGGATTAGGTATAAGGATGGCGAAACAAAACTATATATAGAAAATTATTTATTTTTATCTTAGAACAAATACAATGAATGTGAAAATGGATGGTACAAAAGCAAAACAATATACAACTAGATAAAATTCATTTTAAAGATATGTCAAATAAATATAAAAAAGTAATTCATTCTAACAACTCTAGAGTTCCGTAACACCGACTCAGATAAATAAAATCATATACAATAATAACAATTTATAATCGTAAAATAATTTAATTAAATTTCCTTTCACATTACACAATTATAAGAAAGAATCCGTGTTTGTCGAGCATCTTGAATTGAGCGCTAGTAATATTGTAGTAGTCGATGAAAATATTCTTGTATATTGTAAAAGTATTTATATAATAACCATTTCTTAATGTTGTCAATTTAATGAAAATTAGAATCTCTTATCTGACTGAAGAAATATATATGTAAATTGGACTCTATTTTCCGCAATCAGCCCCTCATCTGGACCGTTGTACATGTAGAGCCGAGAGTACCAAAGTAGCCAGCCAAGCTTCTCTCAGAAGGACAGAAGTCTCCTAGTGTCTTCACAGGCTTCACGGAGTGACCTCAACGTTCTGAGGATTTGTTTTCTTTATGTGGCCACTGGTACGCACTCCAGGATTACGTGAGCGGCCGTTTTTTCGGCTTCAAAGCAGCCTCGACAAAGCTGTCTGTAGCATCTATTGTGTACAGGTGTTTATAAGACACAGTGGCCAGTTATTGTCCCCTCTTATAGATTATATATCTCTTATCTTTTCCGTTCCATCGACATGATTATTTTTGTTAACTTTTTACTCATTCTTTCCAGTATGATTTCTTTAATTGCAATCATTTCAGACCTTTTGAATATATGATATTGACAACTATATTCGCAAATTGTATAGCTTTAGCAGTATTCACGCCATATCCATTTGGGGATACGAATAATACTAATCAAATTCTGGTAAGTTATTAATAACTAGCTATCTACCCCGGCTTCGCACGGGTGTACATGTATCTATACATATACATAAAATTGGAGTTTTTTTTTCGGACTACTCTAATGCTGTTGGCCGCAGCTGGCCTTTACAGCTTCACCGGACGTTAGGAGGCGAGTGCAGATGGCACTCCAAACCCGCGGAAGGACTTATGGAGCGGCTGAAGGCCAGCTCCTGCCTGACGGATACGACTTTAGTCTGAGGGCACCACTAGGGGTTCGTACCTCGGCTCAGGCCGTCGTAATTTTGATCCCCGTTTGAATTGGATGGGGGATCGATCGGAGGGGAAAAATTGGAGTGTCTGAATCGTTTTTTACTACATACATATGAATATAAATACGGTACATACACTAAAATAACTGTTTGTTCCGGCTAATCTCTGAAGTGCCTGGACCAATTTTGACGGGACTTTTGTTGTCAACTAGCTGATGTAATAAGGAGTAACTTAGGCTACTTTTATTTTAGAAAAATAAAGTTATATTCCACGCGGACGAAGTCGCGAGTACAGCTAGTACAAAATATAATTAGAGTATAACTTTTTGTAATATATTCACAGCTTTGCTGACCACGGCTACATACTTTTGTTTGCTATAAAATATAAATAATATTCATATTAAACCCCGATTAAATATATTCTAGAAAGTTGCAAAGAATGAGAGATTAGTGTGTTGAAGTAATATTTGTTTGTTTTTACAGGAAAAAGTGGAATGGATATTTATGGTAATTTTCACTGGGGAATGTTTCATGAAGATCATAGCTTATGGTTTTCTCTTCCACCCGGGAGCGTACCTGAGGAATACGTGGAACAGTTTGGATTTTACAATTGTTACTATTGGGTAAGTGGAAATGATTCTTCAACTAAGCAAAGCTTAGTCAAGTCTAAACGATTACTTGAATGACGAGCGTGTGAATAATATGGTTTTAAAAAAAGAAATTCAATTGAGTTTCTTGCCAGTTCATCTCAATTGAATCTGTAAACTGAACTGGACGGAAATTAATGAAATAGTGCTAAATATATAATATCAAAATTCATTAAATGAAATAGAGTAAAATGTCCTAATTTTTCTTTTTTGACCCAATTCATTTGATTTTGGATTCACGACCCTTGGGGCAGCTAACGGTCGTGAATTCAAATCCGGCCCACGACAAAAATATTTTCAATTTTTATTTCTATTCTTGATGAAAGGTTTTTTTTTTTGCTACATATCTTTTAGCGGTTTTTTTAATATCGCTAAAACCACTCTCGAAATACCGGAAGTGATAACTAATAAATTTTCACTTTCATAATAATTTTTCATATATATTTGTTTATGGAATTTAACAAACTTTCGCGTTAATAATATAAGTAAGATTGTCAGAAATATTTTTTTATAGATATGCCCTACATTTACATATATTTTTTCTGTGTACTTTAAATACATTCTTCTCTTCAATAGTATAGCGAGTCAGGCGCTGCAGTATATTTCCAAGGATGCGTTTGATGTGAAGGCATTGAGAGCATTTAGAGTGCTACGACCACTTAGACTGGTCTCCGGTGTGCCAAGTTAGTAACCTGTATTTATAATTTACCTTCAATTCTTCTTTATTTTAAATTGTCTTCTAGGTTTTTAAATCCATGTTATGACCAAAAGGAAAACCTTTGAAAAATTTACACTCTATCCTGAGGAGATACAAACCATCGCTCCTAAGAGTATCCTACAATTCTTGTCTCTGACGGACTAGGTAGCGAACTTTGAAAAGGGCGAGCACAATATATGTATCTATATAGGTCGAAGTGCTACAGGTTCATGCATCTGACAATAGCCCAAACAGCATAAGAAAAAGAAAGAAAAAAGTCCCGGCTTCGCATGGATTATACATACAAACTGTCCCCTGGAATCACACTATCTATTGCTAAGAATTGCATTAAAATCCGTTGCGCAGTATAAAAGATATGTATAAGCGAGCAGACAGCGGAAGCGGCTTTGTCTTATATTAAAGTTAAAAGATTCTAAAGATAGATAAAAGATGATGGATGATAAAAGATATAAGCGAGCAGACAGTGTAAGCGACTTTGTAAGCGATGAATGTATATTTTGTACAAACCAAATCTGAGTAAATCTATGACTTCTCTATTCCAACCGTTGAATTGTTTTCTTTGGTAGCTATATTTTGGTGAGATATGGTAGTAAAATTTCAAGGTACGGTTTCATAACACCAGAGTGAGTGACATTAAGAGTGGTAACTCTTGAAACCACGGCCGTCACATGGTAATGGCATGGTCTTAATGCTGCTCATGTACATACATATTTGTTTACCTTATGTATTACCTTTACCATTTACCATCAGCTTTCTCGCTATTCTAATTTCATTAATAAGACTTATAGCACATCTGAGGATACCTGTGACTCATCTATTCCAGCCGTTGAATTGTTTTCTTTAGTAGCTATATTTTGGGGAGATATGATAGTAAAATTACGAGGTACGGTTTCATAGCACCTTGAGTGACGAATGGTAACTCAAGTTATGAAACCACGGCTATCACATGGTAACCAGTGACAAGAGTGGTAACTCATGAAATGCTGCTCATGTACGTATATCGGCGACCTTTACCATTTACCACCAGCTTGCTTCTCATTCTATAGGAAAAAACAGTATATAATTATGTAAATTATATACTGTTTTTTCCTATTCGTACGTACACATAAATATCTTATTCTAGTCAAAATGTTACTTACCATACTCCTCCGAAACAGCTCCGATTTTTATGAAATTATAATGCATATTCAGTAGGTCCTAGAATCAACTACTATCTATTTTTCATATCCTAAGTGATATGGGTTGTCAACCCCTAAAATTTTTTGTTTATTTTTAAACAAAAGTTTTTATATTTACTTACCAACCCCTATTTTTTAATAGCGATTTTAATTTATATGACAGAACAGCGTTTGCGGTATCAGCTAGTATATGTATATACACGTATACTCCAATCGGCTCCAACTATATTTTCAAATGGCCCAGGAACCCATTGAAATATGCACACATAATATCTAAATCGGTCCAATCATTTCGGAGTAATTACTTGACATCATTATATAGTATAAAACAAAGTCGCGGTCGCTGTCTGTCCGTCCCTATGTATCTTTAAAACAACGGATTTTGAAGCGATTTTTTTAGTAAATAGAATTATTCAAGAGGAAGGTTTATATATGTAATACATGTACACCTGTGCGAAGCCGGGGCGAGTAGCTAGTATATACATACACAAAAATTTATATAAACTTTAAAATTACCATTATGGATACTAAATAAGTGTTATAACATGTTCTAGGTTTACAAATCGTATTGAATTCAATTCTGAAGGCGATGGTGCCGCTGTTCCATATTGCTTTCTTAGTGCTGTTCGTGATCATCATTTATGCGATCATCGGCCTGGAGTTGTTCTCTGGCGCTCTTCACGAGACCTGCTTCAGAAATGATACAGGTATTACCTTTTTTTAAATATATTCTGATTAGCAATTTATTATTATGATTTAGAAGTCATATTTGAAGGCCTCGGTGGTTTAGGTGTTTAACACACCGCTTTAAATTCAATGGTCGCGGGTTCGATTCCTCACGCGATACCTTGTATTAATGAGTATGATTGTTTGTATTGGCCAGACCAATACAAGCAATCATACTCATAAATAATAACATCTCAGATCAATTCACACAGTTATTTAGTCCCAAACATTACAATGAGTAAGTAGCAATACAAATATTTGTACCGTGCGAATGAAGGAATCGAACCCGTGACCAGCGGAAGTATATCGGTGTGCTAAACCGCTAGACCATCAAGACCATCTTATATAAATAAAAATTATAAATATATGTTTACATAAAACTACTTTCTACTAACTGAAATAATAAATATTATCTTTTCCAGATGAAATGATAGACCCCCAAATACCTTGCAACAGTGATGGGGAAACCGGCTACAAGTGTGATGACGGGTACATCTGTAGAGGTCACTGGGAGGGTCCCAATGATGGTATCACGAACTTCGACAACATCGGCTACTCTATGCTCACTGTCTTCCAGTGTATTACCCTCGAGGGGTGGACTGATATTATGTATGCTGTAAGTATTATAATTATATTGGCATTGCAATTAATTTTTTCCTGTTTGACACGGTCATACAGTAGAATCCCGATTATCCGGACCAATTAAAACAAGGGGTATTCCGTATAATCGAAAATCCGGATAACAGAATTCAAAGCACATCAAACAATATTTAAATTTAAATTTTTCTTTATGTAATGGATTTTATTTAGATAATCGTATATATAAAATTCTAGTGTCACAATGTTAGTTACCATACCATACTCCTCTTGAACGGCTTGACCGATTTTTATGAAATTTTATATGCATATTCAGTAGGTCTGAGAATCAGCTACTATCTATTTTTCATACCCTTAAGTGGTAAGGGTTACCACCCCTAACATTATTTTTTTATTTTTTGGGCAATATTTTTATTTTTTTTATTATGTGTCATTAAAAAATACATACAATCCTAAATTTTGACCCTACTATTACCAACCCCTATTTTTTATAGCGTTATAATTTATATGGCAAAATAACGTTTGCCGGGACAGCTAGTACCATATATAAAAAATCGAGCTATAATGATAGAAAACGGAAATATTTGGTTGGAACTTGTTATTGATCTTTGACGTGATGAATTACATCTTTTCATTACGGCCAAGACCCTGATGTGCTTCAGTTGTAACAACTGTACAGGATCCAATTCGTCCTGTCTATAAAACCACTTAAAAGCAACATCTAGAGCTTTAAAAGCTTCTTCGTGAGAATGTACTTGACATACAACCCCAGTTTCAGTCTTTTTTTCATCTTCTCTCTCATTAAGTTCTGTATAAACCCTCAAATATCTAAATTGATAATTAGAGAGAATGAGTCCGGATAATCGTGATTCTACTGTACGTATAATTGGTAAATCACTTGGGATCTTACCAAATTTAATTTTTATTGAGTTCCTAATATGTTCGCCTTGATCAAGGGTAGAAAAACATATTATACTTAAATAAAAGAAGCTTAAGTTACTTCTTATAGTATTAACTATCTGCGAGTGAAAGTCTTGTCAAAATCGGTACAGTCTTTTCCGAGATTAGAACAAAGAAACAGACAAAAAATTATGATTTTATTTTTTTATGTAAGCACCATATATATTTTCATGTATTTAGTGTAAAGATGTTACTTTAAATTTACAATTGTACAGTTCTTTCTTTCAATTTTATTTACTTGTACAGATGTGTATTTTTTTTATTCTTCTACTTAATAGTTGCTTTTCGTAGGTTTTATAATAGAATCAATTCTTTAACTGCGATTCAGTTTGGTCGTCGTAGAGTCAACACTAGACTCCAAGCTATATCCGAACTCTATTTCACGCCAGATGATTCCTCGTTCAGAGGCGAAACACATATCGCAATATGGGTGTAGACTCAATAACGGTCGGAATTTGATCACTATTAGAAAAGGTCGTTACGGTGGTCAAGTTTCCACACGAAATATTAGTTGTCTCTTACATGCTAATTGTAGACGAATATCAGAAGAGTCTGTAATAGACTTACATGAATAAAGATATTTTGAATTTGAAAATTATATTTTGAATTAAACAACAATGTGGATGAATGTAAAGGGAGGGGACGCCCTTGAATTGTGTGAAAGATATTTAAAAGAAGAGTGTTTAGATATTTGAGAGCAATTATATTTTGAATTAAACAACATGATCTAAATCCATTAAGTAAAGAAATTGTCTTCCTCAAAATAACACCTAATTCGATAAAATATATATTTTTATTGGAATTTTTGTTTCAGATAGCGGATGTGAAAGGCAACACCTGGCCGTGGATTTATTTTGTATCGATGGTGATCTTCGGTAATTTTTTCGTCATGAACTTAATTCTCGGTGTTTTATCAGGGTAAGATTTTATTAAAATAATAATAATCTCAGAACAGTTCACACAGCGCCATCTAGACCAGACAAGTTAAGCTAGCTAAAGCTTGTGTTATGGGTACAAGATAACTGATACATATACATAGATTTTTTTTTTGTAAATACATACATATTATACATAGAAAACACCCAGACCGATACACACAATCATACTCATGAATACAATTGTTTGTGCCGTGCGAGGAATCGAACCCGTGACCATCGGTCGTAAAGCGGTGTGCTAGACTGCTAGACAACCGAGGTCGTAGAATTATATATTTGGGTCGTAATAAATTTATTATTCTAGCATCACATAAAGTACATTGAATTTTTAGTTAACAGATACCTATATTTAATAAAGGACAGGACAATTAACACAGCGTCAAATAGTCCCAAGATAAGCAGAACTTATGTTATGGGTACTAGACAACTGTATATATATTTCATGTATGTATATAACATATAAAGCGATAAAGAAGAAGCAGATGATGATATACATATAATGAAAACACCCAGACTAATACAAACTATCGTACTGAATATTATTCCTATGATTTTTACAATAAATATTAAATGATTAAATTTGCCTTAATTTCTAGTGAATTCTCGAAAGAAAGAGAAAAGGCAAAGAATCGCGGTGACTTCCAGAAGTCTCGAGAAAGACAGCAATTTGAAGAAGATCTTAAAGGTTACTTGAACTGGATTACAGTCGCAGAAGAATTAGATTTAGAGAATGACCAGGCGCAGAAAGAAGAAAATCAGGATTCACAGGGTGAGTTAAGTTTATTTAAATATAAAAAAGTAATTAACAATGCAGTTTTCTTATATATTAACTATTATACTATATATATGGTGATGATGTTAAGTGTTAACTTCAACTACTTGTTTCAATTGAAAGAATATTTTTGTAGATAGCCGATTCCCCAATAAATGGGGAAGGCTGATTTAGACTATTTGTTGGGACTGTAAAATTATTTCTAGGATAGACTTTTTATTGAGGAAGGCTATTATAGGCAATATAACATGACGCTACCATTAATAAAAGTGTAGCAGCAATGAAAAATTGTTCCAAAAACGGGAAGAAAATTGACAAAGTTACACGGGTTAGTTGGTAAAGAATAAAAAATACTTTATATTTGACTCGGTTGAGAAACGTATTATCAGAATTGTCGATGATCTTGATCTCTCTGGTGGTATCGAACTACTTAGCTTGAAACGAGATTTCGCACCGCTCTGTGTGTTCTATCCAATATATAACGAACTGTATTGTAATGAACTGTCTGAAATAATGCCCACGACTACCTTTTACCATCGCACCGCTCGCCATTGAAAGGTAATTCATCCCCACATGCTAGAATCTAAGTGGTCTCGGACAGTGTGGTTTCAGAGGAGCTTCTTCCCGCGTACATTTACATTGTGGAATGAACTACCTCATTTTGATGACGACCTCGGTGGTCCAGCGGTCTAGTACACCGCTTTACGACCGATGGTCGCGGGTTCGATTCCTCGCACGGCATAAACATTTGTATTCATGAGTATGATTGTTGGTATCGGTCTGGGTGTTTTCTATATATAATATGTATGTAATTACAAAAAAAAAATCTATGTATTTGTATCAGTTATCTAGTACCCATAACACAAGCTTTAGCTAGCTTAACTTGGGTCTAGATGGCGCTGTGTGAATTGTCCTGAGATTATTATTATTATTTTCTCGAAAGACTACAGCATGGGGTTTTTCAAGAAGGGTATATTGGTTACTTAAGGATCTGTAACCCTGTGTTTTAGTCATCCATAGGCTACGGTAACATCTTACCATCACAGGGGCCATAATTCTTTTTGGCCACCATCGCAATAATGTATATTATTTATGCCATTATTCATTATTACAGGTAAAACAGATTTAAAAAGCAATGATGGATCTCAAACTAACGTTAACATGAACGGCGATCAAGCTCATACCACTACTTGTAAAGTATACTGCAAGAGGTTCGACAAGGTAACATATTAGGTCCCGCACTATTTAATATTAGTTTTGATTTAGTTAATGCTTGTTAACGTCTCTGACTATCACATCTGGAATAACGATGGTGAATATATACATATTATATAGATATATATTACATATTTTCGACAGCCGCGGTGGTCTAGCTGTTTAGCACACCGCTTTAAGTCCGATGGTCGCAGGTTCGATTTATCGCACAGGACAAACATTTGTATTCATGAGTATGATTGTTTTTATCGGTCTATGTGTTTTCTATGTATAATATGTACGTATTTATGAAAAAATATATCTATTTATTTGTATCAGTGATCTAGTACCCATAACACAAACTTTAGCTAGCTTAACTTGGGTATAGTTGGCGCTGTGTGAATTGTTCTGAGATTATAATTATTATTATTAATAGTACCTAGTGTATCGCACATCTTACTATATGTGATATTATATATATGTACATATATACTAGCGAATAAACTTAATAGTGGAATAACTAAAAAAATATAAACTTTAGAAAATCCACTCTAAAGACTTAACTTTAAAGACTAAATTTCAATTTTAAATTTCCAAAAAAATGTATCTATGTATATATCAGTTCTATAGTACCCATAACACAAGTTCTGTTTGGCTTGGGACTAGATGGCGCTGTGTGAATTGTCCCGCATCATAAACAAGACTACATATGTGCTAATAATGTTTTTTTGTATTCTTTAATGAACAATATAACTTGTACAAAGGCGAGCTTAATGCCGTATGGCATTCTCCACCAGCTAACCTTTAGGTATACAGAAAGCGTTGTGGGGCAGTTATGTCAAAAAACAATCACAAAGTTACTAATAATGTTAACAGATTATATAAAACTGTTTCAGGTGAACAGACGTATGCGTAGAGCTTGCAGGAAAGCAGTGAAATCTCAATCGTTTTATTGGGCAATCATTGTATTAGTTTTTTTAAACACACTAGTACTGGCCACTGAACATTTTAAGTAAGTTTATATAGTAGTATTTTTTAAATATTTTAACAAACAAACATGCAAAACAAAATAAATATTTACTCTCTATATTAATACAGATTATTAAGTACAGTAATAAATAAATACTCAAATATAATAATACAATTTATTTCTTTTAGTATTACTATTTAATATTATATTATCTGTGGTATTACTTTACTTAAAGAATTATTATTATTATTATTATTACTATTTTTATTTATTTTATGTCTATATTTATTTTCATTAATTCTTTGAGTATTTATTTATTAGTGCTATTAATATAGAGAGTAAATATTTATTTTGTTTTGTATGTTTGTTTGTTAAAATATTAAAAAAAAAATAAGATATGACCCAAATGAAATGTGGGATCCATATAGTACAGTAATATGTAAAAAAAATACCGATTTGTTTGCTATGATATCTAATAGATTTGGAACAAAATATTAAACTCATCATCAAGAATCATCATTATCGGTGTAGAATGTTCAGCGTAATTTATATTTATATACTAGCTGTTATTCCCAATATTGTCTGCGAGAAATTACCCAAAAAAAATCTAGAATAAAAGTATTCGAAGTTACGTCTTATAAACAATCTACGAATGAAAATACTGTGAAAATGGGTCCAGTCATTTCAGTAATTGCCAAGAACAAACAGACCGACAAAATTTTCATAAATAATAGTTTACTTTCATGTGCATTTATTGAAAAACTGTTAATTATGAAATACATACAGACATCTTTATATATTTGTATGTATACAAAAATACAAGGAATGGTTATTTATTATTATTATTATGTTTACAGACAACCAGACTGGCTAGACGATTTCCAAAGCTATGCAAATTATTTATTCGTCGTACTTTTTACTATGGAGATGTTAGTGAAGATGTATGCTTTAGGATTTCAGGTAATTTTTATTTATTTATTTAAAACAGAATACATTCACTAAAGAATAAAACACAAATTCACTGAAGAAACAATGACATTTATAGCAGTTTAAACTGTATTAAATCTTTTATATACATATATACACAGATACATACAAATATATTAAGGTTTATTAAGGGTCGGCAACGCGCAAGTGATACCCCTGGTGTTTCAGGCGTTCATAGGCTACGGTAACCATTTACCATCAGATGGGCCGTATGCTTGATTGCCATCATCGTAGTAAAAAACAAAAGTATATAAAAATAAAGTGTATAATATGTTGTATATACAACATATTTCTACGGACGGACCGACCGACGGAGTGCCCTTGTCATATCAATACAAGACCAGCCTCATTTTGATTAGGTAGTATTTGGTTGTAGTTACACTTACTATACATTACATTTTATTACATACATACATTTTATTTTTCTGAGTTGAATCTCTTATCAGTTCTTAGACTCCGATCTGACTGTAGATTTGACATATCATAAGAGTCTGTAATAAACCTACATGAATATAGATAATTTAATTTTAATTTGATTTGATTAAAATGCATGAAAATATTGAACAATGTAATATTCTGAGTTGAGTTTCTTGTGAGTTCTTAGTTCGAATGCGCTCTGAACTGACGGTAGATTTGACGTATCATAAGTTTTTAATATATCTACATGAATAAAGATATTTTAATTTTGATTTGATTTGATTTGATTTACTCTTTCAGGGTTATTTTGTCTCTCTGTTCAATCGCTTCGACTGCTTCGTCATGGTGTGTTCCATAGTGGAATTGGCTCTCACTCTAACGGACACCATCCCTCAGTTGGGTATCTCCGTGCTTAGATGTGTCCGGTTGTTAAGAGTCTTCAAAGTTACTAAGTAAGTTTTCAGTTACTTTTTTATATAATCTTAACAATAGCACTGGACAATTCACACAGCGTCATATAGTCCTAAGCAGTGCTTGTGTTATGGATACTAGACAACTGATATAAATAGAAATAGAAATATTTTGTATTCAAATAAACTCAATACAAGCACGTTTTAATAGTCATATTTTTTTAATTCTCCAACTCATTCGGAACACAGACTTATCACAAGGAGAATGAGCAAGAAACTTACGTATTGCTCTTAAATACATAGATAAATTTTTTTTATATTTTAAAGATGTTATACATAGGAAACTCCCAGACCGATACGAACAATCATACTCATTAATGGAAAAATTTGTACCTTGCGAGGAATCGGACCCATGACCATCGGAAGTAAAGCGGTACGCTCAACCGCTAGATCACCCTGGGCTGGTTATACGTTACTAGACTGGAATTTTACTACTAATGTATTAAATGATAGCATTCATATTTCAGATACTGGCGATCTTTATCCAACCTTGTTGCATCTCTCCTCAACTCTATCCAGTCCATCTTCTCTCTTCTCCTACTTCTCTTCCTTTTCATCATGATTTTTGCTCTACTCGGAATGCAAGTTTTTGGCGGCAGATTTGACTATAAGCCAGAAGAAGTGAAGGAGAGGCATAACTTCGATACATTTTGGCAGGCCGTGCTTACCATGTTTCAGGTATGAAATAGAAATAATCTTTATTAAAATAAAGTAATATGTGCACTTTTTAACAGTCATAGTTTTATTCTACCACACATTCGGAACGCAGGCTTAACAAGAAGAATGAGGAAGAACCTTGTGTTTTGCTTTTTAAATAAATTTTGTTCGAAGTTAATACAATAACAAGGATTAGGCATGCTACAATCAACAAAGAAACCGCTACGCACACAATCTTTGTGTAATCAGATAATATTGTCCGCGCTATGAATTTTAAGTTAGAATTTCTTTACAGAAACATTATTAACATTTATAAACTCTTCAATTTTATAATAAGCTTTTTTACAAAGAAAAGTTTTATAAGAAATTTGAATCTTTTTTCTGGCAGGTTGAGAACAGGCATTTCAATTTGTTGTAAAACTTTACGCAATTAACATAAAACAAATAACTTTCGTCAAATGGCATTTGTATCATTAGGTAAACCAGTTTGTTGTTATTACGTAAGCTTTTTTTTAATAATAATGGAATATTGCACCCACCTGCGCTAACGGTTTATTCTGGTGGGGCACCAGTGGAGGATGATAAGATGACCAGTAAGTCCATCATGACCAATTCACCAGGAATTTGTCATGATGGTGTCCAGGGGGACCGCGTGGGGCTCTACATGTTACATTTGTAATGGGGTAGTAATGGGGTCATCAGTACACATTACTAACAATCTTTTCTAGTGCAATTGTCCTCTTTACTAGTGCAATTATCCTTCCTCCAAACAGTTGTCCTTCTAATATTTTCATAACATTGTCCCCTTTTAGATTCTAACAGGCGAAGATTGGAACGTGGTAATGTACGAAGGTATCAATGCATACGGCGGCGCCGGAAGTCCAGGCATGTTGGCCTCTATATACTTCATTGTTATCTTCGTCTGTGGTAATTGTATCCTTTTATACATCAAAGGCTATGGGGAATTGGTCTAATTCACATCCTTTTGTCTCTGCAAACCATAGACCAAAATAGCATTTTGTACTGTATTCCTAACATAATAAAATAGAAAATTATTTATTCAATTTAGTAGTTTGAATAGTCATACTATTTTTTTAATCTACCGCTCATTCTAGCTATCTTAACAAGATGAACTATTAAGCAACTTGCGTATTGCTCTTTTTAATAATCGTTGTAACTGTACATTCAGTTGCAATATAATAATAATAAATCCATTTATTGCCAATATCAGTATAGTTACAATAAATAATTCAATAAATTATTTATTCATGTAGGACATTTTAGCCGCTTATGAACGTCAAATTTTTACATTCTAATTTTATTTTTTTTCCCTACCGTCCAGTTCGGTATATAGATCCAATTGAGAAGAACTGGCAAGAAACTCAATTGAATTAGTTTTTTTTTTAAAGCCAGTTTATTTACAATGTAATTTATATAGGTGTCTATGTCTAAAATTAAATGAAAATTACAACATTGCCATGCACACTTCATTCATACATATTTAATATGATTTTTGAATTTATTTAAGGGTAATTCCAACAATATGATTGGCAATACAAACTCAGCTATTGCTGGACTGATGGGCGTCCAGCGCTGGTTTTCAGTTTGTACCTACGCAGGCGTACCTAGTCACACGTGCTAGATAACCATACCACAACATAATGAAATAAAAATTTAACAAATTAATACATAAATAATAATAATATCCATACGGATACACAAGTGACATGCACGCAATGCATGTGTATCTACATACACAAAAAAAAATCTTATTTTATGTCGAGATTTGTCGCCGCTATCCAAGAGCTGTCTCTGTCTATCTAATATACCAAACAAACAAACTACCAACTAGCACTAATTCATTAGAGTTGTAATAGTAAATGCATAATCAATTGGTTAAGTAACTAAAGAAAATGAAATCACTCGTATTGATAAGCCCAGACCAGTCCCTACAAGCTGCATTCGTCGAGCACCACGACTATAACGGATGAACCAGCCATCGCTGTTGTCGACCACATTTTAGGGTGCCCAATAACCCAATAAACATTCCTATAAGCAAATATTCCTATACTACAGAACCATTGTGTGTGTTTGTCAATGTATATGAATCACTAAATCCCAGTAATTCCAAAATTTAACCCGTTCGCTTCCATTATCCGACCTCGTTTTCCCTTAATGCCATAGTAGGCAACACTAGCCTCTCGTCAATTTGTGTTTGTGTATTTGTGTATGTATGTAAATGTGTACAATACTGATAATTTCCAAAAATTCCAAATTTCAAATTCCAGTAATTCTAAAATTGAACCCGTTCCCTTCCATTATACCCTCTCGTTTTCATTTAATGGCATAATAGACAACACTCATGCCATAATAATGTAAGAAAAAATATATCGTATTTTTATAGCCTTAGGAGTCAAATTTATGAGATGTCTTCTGAACCTCTGGACTTTCTCGACTTAATTTATGAATGTCCCGTATTTTTTGTTGTATTTCGAGAATATATAATAATATTTCTGAATCTAGTCCATCAGATATTCTATTGAACGTGTTCTTGGCTATCGCTGTTGATAATCTCGGTGACGCTGAGGATATGGATGCTGAAGAAATTGAAAAAGATAAAACGGTAACTTGTATTTTGAATACAAATTACAAAATTGTAAATTGGGTGAAATGTAATGATAAATGTTAAGTAAGTGCAGAAAAAAATGCGGCACAGCTAGTAGTCACAAATTTTCGCGTTTATAATATTAGTAAGAGATACTTACAGACTACCATACACATAGACAGAAGTATGACTGTGGGTACCTGAAGATGTCGATGTATAGCTGATATATAAAGACCTGACGTCGGCGGTCTACCGATTTAGTTCTGATGGTGGTGGATTCGATTCCTCGTACAATGAAAACATTTTTAAGAATCTTTGAAATATATTTGTGTTACTAGAATGGCAAACAATCTGACGGTGCATTTGATGGTAAGTGGCAACCGTTGCCTATATACATTAACAGAATCTCTGACATCATGTTTTCTATCTGACAGTACTTAAGTCGCGAAAGTGTGACCGTTAAGCAGAATTTCTTCAGGTCATTTTGATTAATATAAATATATAGAATTATGCTGAAATAATTGCTAATTTACAGGATGCTGATAACCCTGAAGCAGGTAACCCTCAATTGGACGAAGACAGAGGAGAGACTGATGATGAATACGTTAATGATGAAGAAGGATATTCTAGTGAAGGGTAAGAGAAATATAACAATATAGAATTTGTTGATGTAATGGTTCTTTCATATTATATTAATCGCTGCTCTAGCGGTTTAACATACCGTCATTCTTCCGATAGTCGCGGGTTTGATTTCTCGCATTGTGCAAAGTTTTGTGTTCATAAAAATGATTTAAAAAAATATTATTATTGGTCTGGGTATTTTCTATTATATTATGTATTATTACGTTGAATTACCATTTAAATTAAATTGGTTACATGCAGCCGGAAATACAAACGATACAAAAGAGTTGCCAGGTGAGAATATTAGTTCATATTTTTAATGACATAACATACTAGGATAGGATATACATAGGATATAATATAGCTAGGCCAGTTCAAAGTTTGTTAGTTGGTAAACCGTTTAATAGAAAAGAATCACAATATTTTAAGCGAAACAGACAATACATTAATGAAAACTTACCCAAAATCTGTTAAGCTGTTTTTGACATTGGCGCACAATGGCAAACATATATATAAAAAAAATACGTTGATAAAGTCTGTTGATGAAGTTGATGTAGTCTTAATTCGGAATTAAGCATACGACTCATCTGATAGTAAACAGTTACCAAAGGCTATGTAGTCTCTTGAGAAAACCTTGAAAAGCTTCTCTGAAACCGCACTGTCCAAGACCACATAGGGTTCAGCATGTGGGGATGAATTTCCTGTCAATGATCTTTCGTACATTGAATCTTTCTATAAAATTTCATATAAAGAATCAACTCAAGAATATAATTATCACTAAATAATGACTCGATGCTTGTTATTTCAGATCAGAACATGAATACGAAGAAACGGGTTCTGAAGAAGAAGTTGAAGAGCAAGAACAAGAAGAAAGAGAAAACGCTGACGAGGCACTGGTCAGCAACGATAAAATACAAAACGGTTTGTTTTTTAAAGGACTAATGTAATAGCATTATTTAAATAAAAAAAGCAGAGTTAAAGATGGTTTAAAAGTGGAAGAAGGCAGTAAAAATGAAAAAGAAGAACAAGTACACTAACGAAACTACACGAAACTAAACTGCAACCGTAGCAACAGCAGCTATTTTTAAAGGCTAATTTACATAAAATAAAATGTAGTGTTTGCTTTGTATTGACAAAGTGTTGACAAATTTATGATATTGGGAACACTAAACTTCATTATTATCGTAATGTACAAGTGCTATATAATGTAGAAGGAGGTAATTTGGTATATGTCTTTTCAATTACAGGAGACATTAAGAAAGATGACCCTGAGTCGTTAAAACGACAAGCAACTGTGTCGGCCCGGCCGAGGCGTTTGTCTGAAGTGGAAATCAAAAGTCAGGAGAAACCAATTCCAGACGGCAGCAGTTTCTTTATATTCTCGAAAACAAATTGGTTAGTTTTCTTTGTATAACTCAAATGGTAAATGGCATATGCCGCCTATATGCATAAAAAGTAATATGATTACAACGTCATCCTCTGATGACGTTGTAATCATATTACTTTTTATGGGACTCTTCCCAAGAAGCCGAGAAGCTGCAAAAGCCAGCCAGTGCACTAGAATTTGCAAAAAAAATTGTTATTTGTTGCCCATAGTCTGTATTGCTATTTCTGAGTACTAAGTTACTATACATCCATTTCTCATTCTTCCTTCCTTTCTCATCCTGTAATTTTATGGCCATACATCGGCAAAATAAGGGGAGAAAGGTAACCAATGCCGACTAATTTGTATAAATCTACCCTCTGTTAAATCTTTGCTGATTCTGTTACAATTTTGGAAAGATAAAAAGCTCAAAACGGGGCAAAATTTGCCCTCAAAATGAAATTAATGCTGTTACTGAGATGATAATCGATAATTCTCATGGTTCGTTTAAATGGAATCAAAAGGATGGACCGAACTATTTCGGTGCTATAGATGAGAGTTCTCCATATGGGGGCGAAATTGTAACTTATTGACTAACAGTCTTTGGACTGCAGTGAAGTACCGCTTCGTTTGACTAAGCTTATACAAGATTAGACCCTCCGTTGCTATTAATCACAGATAAGATGATGCTATTAATTAAATTTCTCTTGATGTTTTAGGGTTCGTGTATCGTGTTATAAACTACAGAATAATTCTTGGTTTAAAAATTTAATATTGGTTTGTATTTTGGCGTCATCTCTAATGTTGGCTATGGAGGACCCAGTTGGAGGGAAAGGGTCAGAATTAAAGACTGAGGTAGGTTTCTTATTAAACCTTACTGTAACTTCAAAGTAATATACAGTAAGATTAAATAAGTTAAAAGTATAAGTTAATTAATTTCAATAATTTGAATAAAAGTTACGTTCTATTCTACTCAAGTGTAAAGATTTCAATAATAATATTTGTATTGAACAATGAACACAACCCCAAAGTCCCAAATTAAGCAGAATTCGTGTTATATGTACTAGACAACTGATGGAATACATGTATAATATATATTGGGACCTTCGAGATCTATACATACAATTGTACTTATGAATACACATGTTTGTATCATACAAAGATTCGAATCCGAGACGTTACATCACGGAGACCTTCAAATAATAATGTATAAGATGATTTCTAGGTTCTTAATAGATCAGTGAGGTCAGTTGTCTGTTTCGCTCTTATTTTATCACAGATTCTCTGCTTCTACGTGTCATATTTAATATACCTATAAATAACGTTATTGGTTTTCAGATTCTACGTAAAATAGATTACTTTTTCACTTCAGTGTTCACGATAGAATTGGTCCTGAAACTGATCACCTATGGTTTCATATTACACAAGGACGCCTTCTGCCGTTCGGCTTTCAATTTGCTGGACATGTTGGTTGTCATCGTTTCGCTTATTTCGATGAGTGGGTGCGTATTTAATATTTTATTAACTCGTATTGACTCCAGGCTTTTCCTTTTATATATCGTTTCTTGGGAAACCAAGTAGACTTCGTAAAAAGTCAACTGCGTCATCATTGTTTTATGTCTATTTCTAAGCAAATTGCTGTTTAAATAGCAATTTGCTTAGAAATAGAAATGGAAAAGTAAATGTCTGTCATGGTTTGGGCATGTAATATATAGCAGACAATATTTTAAAGAAAGTGTTATATGTGAATGTGGATGTAGTTATAAGGGTAGAGGAAGGCCGAAAAGAGATGGATGGACTGTGTGAAAGATGATATGACAAGAAAGGAAGTGAATAGCGAAATAACTGCGGACAGGGATGAATAAATAGAAAAATATATTACGCCGACCCCAAATGAGAATATATTTTTCTATATGAATAGCCTTTAAGGAGGTGTGTGTACAAGGGTTAGGTATATGACCTACTTGTTGAGAATTTGGGATCTTCAATGATAGACTCGACGGAAAAAATAGAAGTGTTTTTATTGTATTTTTTTTTTTCGGACTACTCTAATGCTGTTGGCCGTAGCTGGCCTTCACTTCACCGGACGTTAGCGGCGAGATGCAGATGGCACTCCAAACCCGCGGAAAGACTTATGGAGCGGCTGAAGGCCAACTACGGATAGAAAAGGGGTTCGAACCTATATTTCGATCCCCGTTTGAATTGGACAGGGGATCGATCGGAGGTATTGTAAATATATTTCGGCCTTATATATGAATTTACACGTGTCGGTTTTAAGCGCAGCTGCAGGTATCGACGGCTTGAAGGTCGCGCAGCTGCGTTTCTAATGTTACACGTGCCGTGCGATAAGGATTCTAGGAAGTGGATGGTGGCACGTATAGAAACTGTGTTGCTACAAGCCTAAGGATGATTCAAGCATGGTATAATAATTTTTCAGATCCAGTAATGTATCGTTCATAAAAATCTTGAGAGTATTCCGAGTGTTGAGACCTTTGAGAGCCATCAACAGAGCTAAAGGACTTAAGGTCAGTGGTTGTCAAATATAACTTAATTATAAAAATAAGCAATAAAGATATACAAAGTGAAAATTTGTAAACAAATTTTTTTTTATCAATTTTTAGCACGTAGTACAGTGCGTGATCGTTGCTATTAAAACTATTGGCAACATTCTGTTGGTGACAAATCTACTGCAATTCATGTTTGCTGTCATGGGGGTCCAAATGTTCAAGGTAGGGAGAAAAAATTTTCGAAAAAATTTTGACGACACCTTTGGGTCAATTTTAATTTCACTATAAAACGTTGAGACAGTAAGTACTTGTGCATATCATCCATGTATAAAACACGATTATGTATTTATTCTGAAAAAAAAAAAACATTTTTTTGTGTGTGAGCCTTGTTTTCTATTGGATTTTGAACTAACCTTTTTTTCGCTTTGCCCGTGGGTCCAAAAAATTTTTAATATTCCTAAAAGGAGTTTGCATGGTTTCCATATTTTTTGCCCAAAGGTGTTGTACCTCTGATGAATTAAGTTCCGTGATTTTTTGGACTCAAAAGTGCTTCTTTGTTTCGTTTGCACTACCCTCCCTACCTTGACATTTTTATTCGTGTACTAGGAGTAAGGTACTTGATTGATGCGTGAGTTTTACATTCTGTCGTTGAAGAAATCAATGTCAAACCAGGACACTGACATGTTATTGATTGATTGATTGAATTGATAGATTGAAGAACTAATGCTATGCATTTATTCGTCAAAACTTTAAATTTCTAATAAGACTCTTTTATCCAGAGAAATTTTCCATCTCTAAATCTGTATTAGCTAGAGAAATTTGTTATTTTCCTTGAAATGAATTACTTAAATTGACTGAAAATGATGCAATATTTATGTAGCTCAAATGGTTATACAAATGATTTTAGTTTTTTTAAGTTAGACTTATATAAAGATATGTATATAAGTCTGATTAACTATGTTTTCATTATATGCTACAGATTGTTGGTACACAGGTACACTCCTGACTAGGCTATTCTACCATTAATATAAAAAAGATTGTTGTGTCATTATTTGTTTTTATTTATAGAATGTCTGCATTTGTTTTTACACAAATATAATTTGCATTTTTGATTTTTTTTTAATATATTGTCTGCATTTTTTTTCACACGAAATACATACACCGTGTTATGTACACATCACATTATGCATATTGGAACAAAATGGCTGAAAATTAAAAAATATATCTCAATGATTTGGTAAAGTGTATGTTATGTGTACTAATATATATGTTTGCACTTTATGTTATAACAGTATGTCGTGAAATGTGTGTATGCTTCGATAAAATCAATCGGAAATATATTTATTCTTAATAATCTGTTGCAATTTATGTTTTCAATTGTTTGTACGCAGTTATTTAAGGTAATTTAATAATGTAATTGATTTAAGTTTAACGGCCTCGGTGCTCCAGCGGTTTAGTCTCGCCTTACTTCCGAATGTCGCGGGTTCGATGCTCGCACGGTACAATAATTTGTATTCATGAGTATGATTGTTTGTATCAGTCTGGGTGTTGTCTTTGTATATTTTTTTTTATAAGACATATTTTTTTTAATACATACATATTATATAATATGTATGTATTAAAAAAAAAGACTTTAACCGTTATCTAGTACCCATAACACAAGCTTTAGCTAGCTTAACTTGGGACTAGATGGCGCTGTGTGATTTGTCCAGAGATTATGATTATTATTAAGCAGTTTCTATGTAGTCACTGTCACCTTACCTTCTTCTTCTTTTTCCTGGCCTTAGTCCCATTTATTTGAAGTAAGCCCCTCTGGTCATCTTTGCCAGTACGGTTTCTCCTTGATATTTTCTAACCCTCTTATCCGTATCAAGTAAAACCTACCCAAATTAGAATTTGTAAAAAGTCAGCTGAAAGAAAGAAAGAAATTTGGAGCACTAATTATTATCAAATAATGGAGGAAACGCCACTACACATCCAATGTGTCTGTAGCCCACTAATGTACATATAAACGTAATATCGCCTTTTGAAGGTGATATCTTCTCTACTATACTTTATTGTAACATAAATTTTATATTGCTATATTAATAACCCAGCAATTTGTGCTAATTCGTCAATATATATGTGCTTAGCCTTTTTTTTTTAAATACATTAAACTAAATTGAAGCGGCATGAAGTTATGTACGAGATATTTAAATGCACAAGGAAATTCGATCTTAGTACTATCAACTTATGAATCAATTTAGATGTCTGAATATGATTATATTTTTACTACCTTGTATTAATACAAGTTTGGTTTCAGGGAAAATTCTTTAGATGTACTGACGTAACAAAATTGACTGACGAAGACTGTCGGTAAGTATCTTTTAAGAGTTTTATTATAATTACATATATTACTAGCTGATCCAGAAATATAAATGGAATGGTGTAATATTGTCCGCGCTATGAATTTTAAGTTAGAATTTCTCTACAGAAACATTATAAACTCTTCAATTTTATAATAAGATTTTTTACAAAGAAAACTTTGTCTTATAAAACTTTTCTTTGAATCTTTTTTCTGGCAGATTGAAAATAGGCATTTCAATTTGTTGTAAAACTTTACGCAATTGACATAAAACGAATAACTAACTTTCGTCAAATGGCACTTTGTATCATTAGGTAAAACCAGTTTGTTGTTATTACGTAAGTTTTTTTTTAATAATAATGGAATATTGCACCCGCCTGCGCTAACGGTTTACGCTGGCGGGTCAACAGTGGAGGATGATAAGATGAGAATGAGGTCAGGTCAATTTACCTATCATGATTAAACCAGGGTTTAATCACGATGGTTTTCAGGGCAAACCGCGTGGAGGTCGAGTTAATATTGAAGTTGTATGTATTTTTAATGCTAAAGCGTAATAAATAAAACATAATTTATTATTTGAGACAAATAAAGATTATTTAATCTTTTATTCATTTTTTAATCTTTTAGACTCAGTGTCATATTATAATGGAATGTCCAGCATTTGGTTTGGAGATACTTATTTTGAAAGATGGCTTAATAAGTTTATATAGTACCCCGCCTCTTGCCATCTATCCTACAAAATACAGAAAGTTATCCATTTTTATATGACTTCATACACAATACTATAAGAACGCTATAGATGTAATTAATAGTTGATTTGTATTTGTAGAATGTAATTGTTTGGCTGAAAGGAGATTTCCAGGGCGGTAAAATACTTATTAAAAAAAAAAAAGACTCAGTGTTAGAGGCAGCTCCCGCTGTCACCATTGTAGAATCGTCTTTTGTTTTCGTACTATTCTAATACTGCTGGCCGCAGCTGGCCGCAGCTGGCCTTTACAGTTTCACAGGACGATAGGGGGCATGTGCAGATGGCACTCCAAACCAAAGGAAAAACTTATGGAGCGGCTGAAGATCAACTTCTGCCTAACAGATATGACTTTAGTCAGAGGGCTAGGCTACGGTAGGGGTTCAAACCTCGTAATTTTGATCCTCGTTTGAATTGTACTGGGGTTCGATTGGAGGGTGCTCGTAAGTCAACAGTAATATTAGTTAAGAGTTTTAATTTGTATGTTTGTTTTAGTGGAACGTATCTAGTATATAATGGTGGTAAAGCATCGATTGAAGACAGGGTTTGGAAGAAGAACAAATTCAATTTTGATGATGTCCTGAGTGGGATGCTGACTCTATTCACAGTGTCAACTTTCGAGGGATGGCCAAAGTAACTATTAAATATATTAATATCTCAGTGTAATGTATGTATGTATGTAGAAATAACTACATACATACATTATCATTAGATAGTATAAAATAAAGTCGCTGTCACTGTATGTCCCTATACTTAAATCTTTTAAAACTACGTAACGGATATTGCAGCGGTTTGTTTTAATAAATAGAGTGCTTCTAGAGGAAGGTTTATATATATAATACATGTATATCCGTGCGCAGCCGAGGCAAGTAGCTAGTATTAATTGTTAGTTAGTTAGTATTAATAATTATAAGTAAAATAACAATTGTGTGTTTAACGTGGGTGTTTATGTCTTTGTCAGTTATGTTGAGTACTAGCTGTTCCCGCGACTTGGTTCGCGTGGAATTTAACTTAATTTTTCTAAAATAAAAGTAGCCTAAGTTACTCTTTATTACATCAGCTACCTGCCAAAAACAGTCATGTCAAAATCGGTCCAACCATTTCAGAGATTAGCCGGAACAAACACACCGACAGACAGACAAAAATTGTAAAAAATGTTATTTTGGTCTATGTACCGTACTTATATTCATATGCATGTAGTAAAAAACGGTTATTTCAATATTACAAACAGACACTCCAATTTTATTTATATGTCTAGATTAGCAACACATGGTTTCTTTGTTCCCAAATATTCCTAGAAATACAAGGAATTATTACATATTCTTCATTCAGAACAATTTACGCAGCGCCATCTAGTCCCAATCTAAGTATAGCTTATGTTATAGGTAGACATTGAGAGAATTTATATAAATACTTATTATATCAAATCAAAAATCATAAGTATAATTAGTAAATCACGGGATGTTACCACGTTTTATTTTTGTTGAGTTCCCGATATTTCGGCAGTGTTTCAACGGCCATGATCACGGGTAAACTGAAGAGCAGTGGGTAGAAGTAAATAAAACTTCCCGGTTGAAATTTTTATATTTCTGTATTTCAATCGCCTCTCTAACCTGTATTAAGACGTGAAGATACTGTGAATATAGTTTGCCGAGATGAATATCGAGCGAGATCCAATAGTAGCAACAAACGTAGACATGTGAAGGTAGACGAATATGTCTGCTCATAAAAGATTTATGTACCTTCTATCCGCTGCTCTTCAGTTTACCCGTGATCATGGCCGTTGAAACTGCCGAAATATCGGGAGCTCCACAAAAATAAAATGTGGTAACATACCCTGATTTACTACTAAAACAGTATACAAAAATCATTTATTCACTTAGGACATTTTAGCCGCTTAAGAACGTAAATTTTTGTGTTACCAATTGAGAAGAACTGGCAAGAATCTTAACTGTATATCTTTTTAGCCAGTTTATATATTTTTTTAAAGTCATTTTATTTACATTGTACACTTATATAGGAGTTTATGTTAAATGAAATACCCGTACATGAACAACTATTGCCATGCACGCTCGTCACTTGGATACATTTTTCAAAATATACATATATATTTATACATACTATACATACATACATACATATTTCGCTCTGTATATTTGAATGTACCATAGCGAGGGAGTTAGTTTACTTAACGTGCTTTGTTATCAGTATTTCCATCAACGGAGAATAATCTAATAATATGACTTGTCACAGGATATTTTTTGGGTTAGTCCAGATTAGAACTGACACCCTTTGTGGTCTGATTGGGGTAGTGAATCACTAAGCTACTGCTCTTTATTATTATTATTATTATTTTTCAGTTTACTATCAACGTCAATGGACTCCAACGAGGAGAATTATGGACCCATAGAGAATTCGAGACCTCTGGTTGCCTTTTTCTATATTAGCTACATTATTGTCATTGCATTCTTCATGGTGAGTTATGAGAATTTAATTAATTATTATATATATAATATTAGTAAGGATGTTACTAAAAATTAGTTTAGTAGTTTTTGCGTGAAAGAGCAACAAACATCCATCCATACTCACAAACTTTCCAGTTTTTTATATTACCAATATTACAAAGATTTACGATGTTTTCAGGTGAACATCTTCGTGGGTTTCGTCATAGTGACATTCCAAAAAGAGGGTGAGCAGGAGTTCAAAGATTGCGAGTTGGACAAGAACCAGAGGAACTGCATAGAATTCGCTCTCAAAGCTAAACCTATTAGGAGGTAACTTTTAATATGTAATAATTATGTAAGTTTTATTACTATTTAACCCTATTAGTGGTCAGCCAACGGTCGAAATTCGACCGTAATTCAATTTGAACATTATTAAAGTTCTATTGACAAAGACACAAGTGTACAAATTCAATATTACTGTATTCTCAATTTGACCATAGACTTTAACAATAACCAAAAAAGCATATATATGCGTGTGTCAAATGTCTATGTGTGATGGAGTGCATGTAATGTTTTGTTTATTGATTTAATGTAATATTTATGCATAATTCAAAAAAATGTTAGCATTTTTCACTCCTTCTCTATATAAACTATAAATGTGCGAAAAATCTGATATAAAGTAAACACATACATAATATACATTGAAAACACTCAGACCGGTATAAACCATCGATCTCAATAATACAAATGTTTTTACTGTGCGAAGCATCGAACCCACGACCATCGGAAGGATAGCGTACCTAACCGCTAAACCACAGAGGTCAAAATTCAAATTCAAATTCAAAAATCATTTATTCTTGTAGGACATTTTAGCCGCTTATGAACGTCAAATTTTTTATTTAATAATTTTATCCCTAGCGTCCAAAAAATACAAACATACAATCGTTAAAATTATTATACATATATATTATACTATTTTTTTTTTATGGATGATTATGGAACGTTGCACCTGCCTGCGCTAACGGTCTATGCTGGACCATGATAAGGTGAGCATAAGGTCAGGTCATTTAGCCCATCCAGGGGGAACCGCGTGGAGGTCAACCTGAAATGGTACATTGCTAGCAATGAGATCATCAGTCCACATTACTAACAATCCCCTTTCCTATATTATAGTAATCATCTTCTCATGTTACAGATATATTCCCAAGCATAGGATTCAGTACAAAACATGGTGGTTTGTGACGTCACAGAGGTTTGAGTACTTCATATTCTTCTTCATTGTTCTCAACACGGTGGCGCTAATGATGAAGTTCGACGGAGCCTCGCCGGAGTACAAGAAGGTATAATATATTAGTATTATGCATATGAATACAAATACGGTACAATCACCAAAATAATATTTATTACAATTTTTCTCTCTGTCTGGCTGTTTGTTCCGGCTAATCTCTGAAATGGTTGAACCAATTTTGACGGACTTTTTTGCAGGTAGCAGATGTAATAAGAAGTAACTTAGGCTACATTCACTTTAGAAAAGTAAAGTTAAATTCCACGCGAACGAAGTCGCAGGTATAGCTAGTATACAATAAATAGTGCAATTATTTCACTTGTATATTTATTACCTAGATACTATAGTAAACTATATATTATGTAGCGTCACCTGATCACAACATATGTATATGACGCTACAGTGGTGAGGTGATACCACCATGTCACAAAATAGCTAATTGGTCTAATTTTAACTTTCCAGGTCCTGGACTATTTGAACATGATTCTGACTACTGTGTTTATGTTGGAATTTGTTTTTAAATTGGCAGCGTTTAGGTTCAAGGTGAGTGTTACAAGAAAGATCAGTTTATTGTACAATCGCTTTATTGCAACAACTAAACTAATAACAAGCTAAATTAATAATCAAATAGTTAACCGTTAATCGTTAATTCGCTACAGCTTCGTTAAACGTTAAAGCGTTACATTTCAGAAGAATTACATTTTTAATATCTATTTTTATATCGCTGCGTTAAATTTATAAAACGGTTTAGGTCTTAAAAGTTTACAAAACAAAATACGTGTATAACTCAAATGAGTACTTTAATCGTCGGGCATAATATTGATATATATCCATTAACATGTTGAAGTTCTCGTCTTAAAGCAAGGCTCGTTATGGTGTTAAAATGTCTTTACAAAACAGACGTTCAACTTTCAAATCCTTATTATGAATAGATTTATGAGTATCTGATATTTGTTGAGTCTTTTAATTTTATGTCCAGCCACATTTTATTTTTTTTTCGTTTTACAAATAGTTGGAGCTTTTTTGTTTTTGACATTTTCAAACCGCGCCGCGGTTCCGTATATTTTAGATTAACGATTAACGAACTTCTCATATTAGTTTAACGTGTCCGTTAACATTTTTAAAAGTTAACCTGTTAATCAAAATGTTAACTTCGTTAATTAACGATTAACGAATTAACGAGTTAATGCCCAGCTATGTTAATAACTAAACTAATTTCTACATACATTCACGAAAATTGCATTTTTTTTACTTACATTTTATACCTATTTATAAAATGGTGTTAATCGTAATGTTTTATTTTCCTTTGTTATTTTTACGTGTGTGTGTGTGGTGGCCCCACTGAAAACACTGCGCTGTGGTATAATTATACTACAGTATAAATGCTGAGTGGGAGTCATATTCAGCGTTACTAGTATATTTTAGCTTATAAGTTGTATAGTAAATATAAGAATACTGTAATATAAGAATGCTGAATAAATGTTTATATTGTTATTATAAACTTATTTATATTACAGTATTTCCATAGACTTTCATTACACATCAGAGAAAGAATCACACAATAAGTACTCGTTACTATTGTCAACTCGAGTTGGGCTGAATTCGAGTTAATTCGAGATGAATTCTGCCAACTCGAGTTGGAAGTTGGAATTTTACGAACAAATCTAATATTTTTGGCCGCAGCTAGCCTTGAAAGCTTCTCCGAAACATAGGGGGCAGTAGAAATCAAAAGCCGCGGAAGGACTTATAGAATGCATAATCATTGTAATGATAACATAACTGGACGAATATGCGAAAAATAAATGATAACAAAATCAATATGAAACATTTGTGACGAGTGAAAATTGTATGATACGAAATGAGCATATAATTTCATGTCATTGTCGGTTCGAAGATAGACTCATGCTCTCGCTCTTTCACTTGATTCGTGAATACTTCCAACTCGAGTTGGCAGAGTTCAACTCGAGTTAACTCGAATTCACCACCACTCGAGTTAACTCGAGTTGACACATCTCTAATAAAACCCAAAGGTTATGAATTCAAAACTGACATACACTAAAAATAAAGTATATGCGTCTATTTATTTACTTTACTAACACTCGGGTGATGTTAACAATAGTCTAGTTCTATTTCTATCCCGGTAGGTTCATGAAACCGATAATTGTTCTACAGAATTACTAATTGTGATTAATATATATTAAATTCTATTTTCTAATGCATAAAACTGATTTTTCTTTTACAGAACTACTTTGGCGACGCGTGGAACACGACTGATTTCATTTTAGTCATCGGCAGTATCATTGACATAGTTGTCACCCAGGTCAACGAGAACAAGCCAGTTACGATGGTAAGTATGCTTATTTTGTTTATACTAGCTGTTCCCGTGACTCCGCGTGGAAATTAACTTTATTTTTCTAAAGTAATAGAATTTTTCTAAAATAAAAGTAGCCTATGTTACTCATTATTATGTCAGCTACCTGCCAAAAAAGTCCCGTCAAAATCGGTCCAGCCATTTCAGAGATTAGCCGGAATAAACAGACAGACAGACAAATGTTAATTTGGTGTATGTACAAACACGAAAGTAAACATTTTTTGCTTACATCTCAATAAGAAAAATAAAGTTAAATTCCACGCGGACGAAGTCCGGTATACAGCTAGTAATATATATAATTGCAAAATGAAGATTTGATTTGATTTGATCACTAGAACGCTAACCCGCAGAACTTTCTCTACCTTACATAAGACAGAGGTACTCTCTTTTCAAAAGCAATGTTTTCCTGTCAACAACATTTTTTACTGTTGCTACACTGTTGAGAATACAGTTGCATGAAAACAGATTTTTACAGACAGTTCTAGCTTAGTTATAATTTTAAGATCTCATTATTTGTAAAGATACTTATTTTTTATAACATTATGTTAACAATTTGTGTTTTTTATTTTCAGTTTACCACCAGCAAAGCAAGCAAAGAGGTAAGAATAATGACAGTTGAAATTACACTTTAATGTTATTGCTTTAGAGTTGATTTTCCAAAGTTTGTAATTTTTAGGGAATCAATATGTCTTCATCTGCTTCTTACTTATCCCATTTATTTGGGATCGGTGTGATTTTCTCTTCGATTCATTCCTCGCAGTTCTCTCGTTATTTACTCCCTCTCTTACCATATCATCTTTAACACAATCCATCCATCTCTTTTTCGGCCTTCAACTGCTCTTATAACCAGGAGAAAATATGTGTGGAAACAAAAATATACAAATAAGTTTAAAAATCACTTATAACAACTCAATATTAACATGCGCTGCAGATGTCCACATAAGAACCTTAAGCATAATGTTAATTCATGTTAATATTGTAAATAAGTAGGTACTTAGTAAACTATTGCGTGCTGAATCATAAGAAGTATTAAGATGAGGGGTTAATTTAACCCCTTAGGGGTGGAATTTATCAAAATCCTTTCTTAGGGGACGCCTACGTCATAGTAACTTTATGCATGCAAAGTCTCAGCCCAATCGGTTTAAAATTGACAAAGTTTCATACAAACTTTCATCCCCTATTTTATCCCCTTGGGGGTAGAATTAAACAAAATCCTTTCTAGCGGATGCCTGCGTCATAACATCTACCTGCATGTCAAATTTCAGCCCGATCCGTCCAGTGGTTTGGGCTGTGCGTTGATAGATCACTATATCAGTCAGTCAGTCACCTTTGAGTTACATATATGTATTTAGATAACTGTTTTTTTACAAATGTAAGAATATTTTGTGATGTAAATTTTTGTGATAATAAATAAAAAGTATAATAAATTAGGTAAAAGCAAAAAATAGTATATTATTATTTAAAACTACCAACTTCGTCCGTGTGGAATTAAAGTAAATAACTTTCTGCTTCATTACAGGGCAGTCTATTAAAATACATCACGTTCTTCCGTCTGTTTCGTGCGATGCGTCTCATAAAGTTGCTGTCCCGTGGTGAGAGGATTCGAACCCTGCTGTGGACATTCATCAAGTCGTTCCAAGCTCTTCCATATGTTGCTTTGCTGATTGTGCTGCTGTTCTTTATATACGCTGTTGTTGGTATGCAGGTATGGAATATTTTATATACTTGTTTTTTTTTTCACAGCGCCATCTAGTCTCAAGCTAAGCAGACCTTGTGTTATGGGTAATAGATAGCTGATATAAATACATATATATTTTTTGGAGAAACGTATGCAATAGAGCTTGTGTTATGGGTACCTACTAGACAAGTGATATAAATATTTTTTTTGTAAAAACATTGTACATAACAGCCAGTCAGAATTCATGAATACAAATGTTTGTAATGAATACAAATCTAGTTTTAAGTTTTAACGCAAGAAAAAAACTGCAAATTCCATACGTTTATTTTTACGTTGGAAGGTTCTTATGGATGATAATGGAATGGTGCACCCGCCTGCGCTAACGTTTTACCCTGGCGGGGTAGTAGCAAGTAGTACCAGTAGAGGATGATAAGATGAACATGAGCTCAGGTCAGTTAGCACATCGTGGTAAATTCACCAGGAAATTATCGCGATGGTTTCCAGGGGGAACCGCGTGGAGATCAACCTGCTATGGTACATTGCTAGGAATGGGGTTATTACTAACAGTCCCTTTCGTACCAACGTTGTTCTGAAACTTCTTAAAATGGTTTTTTTTTACTTTTCAGCTGTTCGGTAAAATAAGTTTTGACGACGATCAGATCACGAGGCACAACAATTTCCAAACGTTTGGCAGCGCACTTATGGTCCTGTTTAGATCAGCCACCGGTAAATATTAATTTATACATTACTAGCGACTCGTCCTGGCTTCGCACGGATGTATTACAAGTCTTTGAATATCTCGATCTATAATACGTATATATTATACATATAAACCTTCCTCTTGAATCACTCTACCTATTGCTGGAAAATGCATTAAAATCTGTTGCGTAATTTAGAAGATATACCTAAGCGGCGAATTCATTTTATACTATCTAAAGATACTAGCTAGCTACTAATAGAAACTAGTAGTTTTATTTGTTTTAATTCAAGTGTAATTAAATAAACTAGAATTAAAATGAATAAAATTGCTAGAATAAAAGTAATATAACCTTATTACTCCTTATTACATTAGCTATCTACGACTGGAAGTCCCGCTAAAATCCGAAATATCGGTTTGCACCGGCGAGGAATCGAACCCGCGACCATCTCTCCTTTCAATCCTTTTTTCGCATTAAAAAGTAGCCTATGTCCTTTCTCAGGGTCTCTGTATATATTATTTCATTTAAATGTTCAGTAGTTTTAACGTGAAAGCGAGACAGACATACTGACAGACAGAGTTACTTTCGCATTTATAATAATAGTAAGGAGTAAGGATAAATATTATAATATTAGTAAGAATTACACCTTATATTCATACACTAATAATGTCTCCAGGCGAGGCTTGGCAAGAGATCATGATGGCGTTGTCTCCCAACATCGACGAGCGGCCCGGCGAGCCGCCCAAGTGCATAAAATCAGAGCCCATCGATGGTGCCCCGAGCAGCGACAACGGAGACGAATTCTGTGGCAACTGGATGGCTTTCCCCTACTTCATATCATTTTCTCTGCTTTGTACTTTCCTGGTAAGATTTTTACTGATATCATTAATATCATCACTGCCTTTATCCCATTATTTGGGGTCCGCGCAGTATGTTATTCTCTTCCACTGATCTCTATCGGCCATCATATCTGAACATTCTTTTGTTCATATAATTTTTCACACAATTCATTCATCTGTTTTTTGGGCGTCCTCTCCCTTTCCATCTATCCACGTTCATATTATACACTTTCCATATGATATGATATCATTAATAATAATAATACTAAGGTAAAAACACATTGGCGGGCCAAAACTGTACATATTGTACCTGTTGTACTTCATTCTACGATTATTATAATTAAAACCCTTAAAAATAGTTTGTAAACATTAAATATACACCCCAGTAAAACATATCTCTTACAAAAGCCACAATAAGGAACACTTGTCGCATTACAAGAAAATTCTTGACTTCCACAAATATATCGTCGTCATCTTCACCTTATGTATGTTAGTCATAAGGTATTTATAATATGGGCACAACCTCTCCCACATTTATTAATTATTTAGTTCTTGGCTAAAGCCCGTGGTTGAGTATTACCTTCTTTTAAATGTATAAAAGAAGAGAAAGAAAAGATAAAAGTAAATAATAATATAATCTCAGGACAATTCACACAGCGCCATCTAGATCCAAGTTAAGCTAAATCTTGTGTGATGGTACTAGACAATTTTTCCTAAATACATACATATTATACGTAGAAAACACCCGGACCAATACAAACAATCATACTCATGAATAGTAGTGTTTTTATACTACGACGTTGGCAACCAAGCATACGATCCATCTGATGGTGTTCACCATGGTGAACGGTTACCGTAGTCTATAGACGCCTGAAACACCAGAGATGACATGTGCACGTTGCCGAATTTAAGAAATCTTAATATACCCTTATTGAAAACCCCATGCTGTAGTCTCTAGAGAAAACCTCGGCAGGTAGTTCATTCCACAATATAAGTGTACACGGGAGGAAGCTCCTCTGAAACCGCACTGTCCGAGACCACTTAGGTGACATGCCCTGACATAATAATTTATTAGATGTATATTTATTTATATAGAGAAGAAACCTTAATATACTCTTCTTGAAGTGTCTTCATTTGGAATATTACTCGTGAAAGTATTGTAATTGTATCATTTAAAATTTCAGATCATCAACCTGTTCGTGGCTGTTATCATGGACAACTTCGATTATCTCACCAGAGATTGGTCCATATTGGGCCCTCATCATCTTGATGAGTTTGTAAGGTGAGTTAATAGTATCAAGACTTGCATTATTAGCGACTAACATACCATCTAGTTATTATACAATAACTAGTTATAAACATTTGAATAGCTCTGGAAGTGTGTACTTAGTACGATATATACTATAGCGCGTGCAGCGCTATCGTCCAGTGAAGCTGCAAAGGCCAAGACTATAGAATATGTATGTTTAAGTATTTATATCAGTCGTTTAGCACATAAGACATGCTCTGCTTTGTTTGGGACTTGATGGCGCGGCGTGAATCGTTATTATTATTAATTTCACATTTTCCCCACAAATAGGGGAGTGTTACTAATTTAAATCGAGTTCGATAGTAATAGTAATAATAGTATTACCATTAATCATAATTTTATTTACAGATTATGGAGTGAATATGACCCAGATGCAAAAGGAAGAATCAAACACTTAGATGTTGTTACTTTATTAAGAAAAATTAGTCCACCATTAGGTAAATAATTGACAATACAGTAGCTCTATACATATTCGTAGGAAATAATAAATTAAAAACAGGGTTCATTGCTTTATAGCTAAAGTAATTACATTACGAATATTTGCGAGGTATCAAATAGTAATAAATAAATATACTGAGACATTATAATTTAATGTTCACCAAGGAAGACCTTGCATACAGAGACAGTATATTATATAAGCCGAAGAAACAGTCGCTTACGTGATTCTGCAATATGTAGTCGTGGCCACACAATGTACACAAATCCTCGGAACGGTGAGGTCGCTCCGTGAAGTCTGTGTAAACTCCTAACGTCTTCACAGGCTTCTACGCTTCTAAGAATAGTTCAGCTGGCTACTTAAGCAGTCTCGGCTCTACACAATGGCTCAAATGAGAGAATAAATTTGAAAAGTCTAACATACAATACAACATAGATATTAAGATTGTCATAATTGATATAGTTTCCACACTGAATAATTGTGCAGATTTGTAATTGATTGTCTTTCATGTATCATGTCATTTCTAGGTTTTGGTAAACTATGTCCACATAGAACAGCATGCAAACGGCTCGTGTCAATGAACATGCCTTTAAATTCTGATGGTACCGTCAATTTTAATGCAACGCTGTTTGCTGTTGTTAGAACGCAGCTGCAAATTAAGACTTCAGGTTTGTATTAATGCTACGAATATTATAAAAAAATTCAAAGGAGGAATATTTTTTTCTCTTTCACGCAAAATATAAGCATGTAGTGTTGTTATCACTACGACATCTATAGATGACAGTATCTACCTTCCTTTGACTACTAAACTACTGGGTTGAAAGTAGGGAAAGTTTATTATTACTTTTATTATTAGTTCTGGCTATTATGTTTTATTTTATTTATTTATCTTTTATTTTCTTTTATATACTTAATGCAACAATAAAATATTAAAATACAAAAATGATATTACTTCAATTGTACGTGTAAAATAAAATCTTTCTTTTCGTTATTTTGTTACTGCTACCGGATACTATCAAATGATAATTGACGTCTACAATAATATATTGAGTTAAAAATTACTTTTAATGATATATTTTATTTGATTTGTGTAACAGGTGTAATAGACCAATGTAATACCGAGCTACGAGCAATCATCAAAAAAGTATGGAAACGAACGTCCCCTAAACTTCTAGATCAGGTTGTGCCGCCACCTGGTGACCCCAACGAGATAACAGTTGGCAAATTCTATGCTACGTTCCTAATCCAAGATTACTTTAGAAGGTTAGTTGTGTTAAATGTTAACCAGTTCTATGCAATTGTACTTACTTAGCTTTTAAAAGAGATAAAAACACTTCTTATCATAGATTTAATTCGAGGATATCATCAACTACATATTGTAAATTTATTATATAACTTATAATATTATATTTTATAACTTTCAGTAGATTACTAATTATAATGTTTATATATGGTTGTTCTTATTATTGTTCAGTAATATAATACGTTAATATAGTTCGACGTATATAATTTATGTAGCTTAACTGTTTATATAGATGACTTCATACTCATATCATGGCTAAATGTTACAATGGAATTTAACAAGTTTTTTGTTTTATAGGAACCATGCGTAAGTTGTAATTCAAGTTTTAAGCAACTCGACGATTTATTCTGCTGTATTTTATGCTTCTCTTCCTTGGTCGCAATACCAGTGTGTCGATAACCAAGGATATTGCTTAATATTTTGTATACTTTCCCCAAAATCTCTGAAACATTCATTTGGTATTTGTATCTACCCATTTTTACTGCGTCATCTGTAATATATTTAATTATGCAATCGTTTGTCTATCACATTTTTAACTCTGAATTGGTTTTGTTAATATTGATTGAAATTCCTTTAAATGTTGTTCTTTATAATGATTGCATAATATTTCTAAGTTTTGTATATTTTATAGCTTCCACGCATATAAAAGGTGCTATATATTTCGCCGAGCACAAGCATTTTTTATTTTTTGGTTCAAGTTTTGATTCTGGCATGGTATTTTTCAGTGATACTTTATTCTATTGAAAGCATGTTTTCTCCGTATAATAAATAACTCTTTGATGTTTTACAATCACTTGTTTCGATTCGCACAATTCTTATAATTATTTTCTTTATTCTTTTGAGTGCTCATATGCGTGATATTATTATGTGTTCGTCAAATGTATATGCATGTAACAGACGATATATCAATTTGCTTTTCTAACTGATTTATGTTGATGAATATTTCTTCGTCTACTTATTTTGAGCAATTGATTGTAAAGTCTGAAACTGAGAAGACATGTTTTTTTTTATTTAGTTAATATTACTGCATTAGAATTCCTTGATTTTTATTGGGTTACAGTTTTTAAAATTATAATTATTGCATTTTTGACTTTGAACTTAAATTTGAGAGTTGTAGAGTTGAAATTTATGTCCTCTACGTGGGCACATAATATAACAGGTTCAGGAAACGGAAAGAACAAGCGGCAGCCGCGTCACTGCAGAACAATCAGATGACGTTGCAAGCCGGTCTGAGGACTCTTCATGAAGCTGGACCGGAGCTGAAGAGAGCGATATCTGGGAACTTGGACGAAGTTGTTGCAGAAACTGTTGAGCCTATGCATAGGGTGAGTTTATAAACATGTAGCTTACATATATGTTATATGTTTCAAGCACAATGAAGAAGAAGGTTGTTAGAAAAATTGCAATATTTTTACTTATATAGGTGTACATGACAGAAAATGTAGAACAAAATATATTTATCTGAAAGCTTTCACAAATTCAAACATGTGTATATAAAAAAATAGTTTGTACCCAAAATTATACATATGCTTTTAGAGTTATTATGATTTTCTTCACTTTATTTATGATTCTTTCAAAACATAATTTTAATGCGAATTTGCTAAATATAAATTCAACAGTTAGTTGAATTTTTATCTGATTCGAATACTGATTGTACCTATACTGATATTATTCTAAGGATCATAGGTTTGCCCCTGCCACAATGCATTCAAATATCCAAATATGGACATGTTTAGTATCTTATTGCGTATCACTATTACGTTGATACATTTGATCATTGATATCTGTGAGAGTAGTCACATCAGCAATTCTATCATTTTATATTTTATCATTTTCTCCAGCGTAATCATACATTATTCGGCTCTGTATGGACGACAATCAAGCGACATGGCCGCGAGAGTTTCTACGGACGAGAAAGGAAAAATCCGCCGCCCTCAATCAAATTGAAAATGCCTAGTAAGTTTTATAATGAAATTGGAGACTCCTGCTTACGATATTTGTATTTTTTGTGTGACAATGGTAGGCAAGCCTGAGAGACCTGATGGTTAACATTAATCATCTAATACTTAAACGGCACTTTGCACATCATTTGACGGCCTGGCTGGTCCAGTGGTCTTACTTGCGATGATCCCGGGTTCGATTCCTCGCACGGCACTTACATTTAAATTCAGGAGTATGATTGTTTGTATCAGTCTGGGTGTTTTCTATGTATAATATGTATGTATTTACGAAATTTAAAAAAGTAGTAGAAAAGTAGTCATAACACAAGTAGCTTAACTTGGATCTAGATGGCGCTGTGTGAATTGTCTTGAAATTATTATTATTATATCATCATCATCATTGGGCACCCTAAAATATGGTCGAGCGCAGTGATGGCTGGCTCATCCGTCATACTCGTGAACGAATGCTGCTTGTAAGGACTGGTCTGCTCTTATCACTACGACTGATTTAATCTTATTGCATATTTATATTTGACCCAAAAAATTAGTGCTTGTTGGTAGTTTGTATTCACACGTTTCGACTTGTAAATGTAAACTTACAAGGATTATTTAAAAGAGCAACACACAAGTATCTTGCTCGTTCTTCTTGTGATAAGACAGCTTTCAGAACGAGTGGTAGATAAAAAACAAATTGTTATGACTTTTCAAAAGTGCTTAAATTAAGTTTATTTGAATGAATGATTTTCTATTCTATTCTATTCATCATCATCATCATGTGAAGCGTGAGTGGTATACTCATGTGTTGCTATTCCGGGGGACTACGATGTCATTTATTTGTTTTTATTTTATTTACTTATATTTATTTTAGAAAAAATATTTTATATTAGAAATATAAAGTTAAATTCCACGCGGACACAGTCGGGAGTACAGCTAGTTGATAATAAAATTATCGTTCCAGGTAAGGAAGATAATCAGAATTTGAGTGCAATGATGAGGAGGGAACTCGGCATGGACGGACAAATACCCGAAGAAGAAATGTAAGTAGATTACATGAATCCTGAAGCAAATAATAATAATAATAATGATATTCATTTATTTATTTGTATTACTAGTGTATAATAAAAGGTATCTACAATTATTTCACCTGTATACTCACTGCCTACATACTACAATAAACAAATAGATTATGTAGCGACACCTCATCACATCATACATAACGGTACTGTGGTAAGGTGACACCACAGCATTACACTAAAATTAACTATTATGACGGAATGTGTTCTGAGGAATTGTTCGACATGATGCCTACGGCCACCTTTTACCATCGCACCGCTCGCCATCGACAGGGAATTCATTCCCACACGCTGGAACCCAAGTGGTCTCGGACAGTGCGGTTTCAGAGGAGCTTCCTCCCGCGTACACTTAGATTGTGGAATTAACTACCTGCCGAGGTTTTCTCACGAGACTACAGCATGGGGTTTTTCAAGAAGGGTATATTAAGGTTTCTTAAAGGTCGGCAACGCGCACGTGACACCCGGTACGGTAATCATTTACCATCAGATGGGCCGTATGCTTGTTTGTCACCATAGCGGTATAAAAAAAATAAAAAAAACTTCCTGAAGCAAATAATATTAATAATAATGATTATTATTTATTTGTATTACTAATGTACAATAAATAGTACCTACAATTATTTCACCTGTATACTCACTACCTATATACTACAATAAACAAATAAATTATATAGCGACACCTCATCACATCATACATAACGGTACAGTTGTGAGGTGTATCACCTTACTGCACTAAAATTAACAAAAAAAAAACAATTAAAAATTTCAGGAGGTACGAAGAAGTGAACCAGAGTGATGGAGATGAAGAAATTGCGATGCAGCCTCTCTTACACGGCAAGGACTCCGAGAGGATATTTAAAGCTATCGAGTAAGTTCGTAATACTTCTTATAATATATACTTACTAGAAAATTGACCCGTAAAAACAAAAAAATGAAATGAAATTACTTTTCCTTGCTCATTTCTTATTGTTCTGTGTAAAAGAAGATTTTTTTCCCCTTCTTTATTACTTTTTGTATAATCATTCTTAATATGTATATGTACATTGTAAATAAAATGGCTTTTAATAAAATATTCAATTGAGTTTCTTGCCAGTTCTTCTCAATTGGATCCATATACTGAACTGACTGGTAGGGAAAAAATTAAAATTATAATGTAAAAAATTTTACGTCCATAATCGGTTAATATGTCCTACATGAATAAACAATTTTTGAATTCGAATTTGAAAAATAATTGTACTATTATCTTATCTGTGGAAAAAAATGGAAGTTGATTAATCATTTTTAATTTACCTAGATTTTTTTTGTTTTATTATTCTCATTTCATTCATCTTGGTTGATATAAAAAGAATTTATTATTCTGTTATATTTGATATATATTTTTTTTAAATTATACTATTTTTTAAATTAAGATAGAAAAGACAGAACAAATAAAGATACCGGTCAATTTACATTAATATAATAATATACCTATGTATATCTGTTAATAATAATTTTCGTTGTATTGTTCTATGTAAATCTATAAGAATTTGTGTCGTGCTTTTTGTTAAATTATATAAATCATGGCACATTAAAAACAATATAAAAATTAACGTTATACAGTTGCATTACATGTTTTGAAAAAAAATTCCTCATAATGAAAAATCTACAGGACTATGAGCATACATCTCTCATAGGGTAGTGCCATCTATTTACTTTTACGTGTAAATTAGACAGCGCCGTTGCTAAACATGTTGCTTTATAATTGCATAGAATGCCGATAGATGGCGCTCTTAGTATATAAATTTCTAAGTGCCGTACGGTCCGATAATTTTCGAAAAACTAAAATCATTATTTGCTACTATATCAGCTAGTAACATATGGACAGTAGCGATAGTCTAGCGGTTTAGTTAGCTCCTTACTGGTCGCGGGTTCGATACCTCGCACAATACAAACATTTGTATTCATGACTATGATTGTTTGTATCGGTCTGGGTATTTCTTATGTATATTACGGGAAATATCTATGTATGCTGCTGCTAGCTGCGCTAGGAACTAGATGGCGCTGTGTGAATTGACCTTACATTTTATTATGTATTTATATTAGTTATCTTAAAAAAATTTAGCTAGGAACAATAATTGACCTTACATTTTATTAACTTAAAAAAAACAATAATGGCATCTGTATAACGTTTAGTGAAAAATATATATAAACATTTACAGAAAAACGTCCAACGAATTAATCCAGAGTATGAGAAAGAACAGTAAGTTTGTTTTAGTGTGTTGTGATTGTGTTTGCATTATCACATAACAATAGCATCACATTTAATTATTAAATTAAATTTTAATTAAAATTAATATTATAATTAATTAAAATATTGACAGCCATGATCGTAATTAATAAAACTACTTATTTTTAAACTGCCGCGTTTACTATACAACTTTACATAGCTTCGCACGAGTGAAGGTACCTCTTATTACACATATAAACCTTCCTCTTGACTCACTCTATTGCTAACAGTGTATATATGATGTCGAAGACGTGAAAAATGAAATACCTAAATATCAGCCCCGAAGGATTTGTGATTGCTAAGAAAAACTGAGATTTCTAACGTCAGTATTTGCGATACGTCGTCTTAAAATCAGTTGCGTAGTTTAAAAGATCTAAACGTACAGACAACGGAAGCGACTTCATTTTATACCTACTATAAATAAGTCTTTATATATCTAAATATATATGTAAAGACTTCATTCATTCATTCATAATTTAAGAGCTACGCTCTTGTCGGCGTATATCTACTCTTGCCACTTCCGCGATGTACAGACTATATATAACTCAAAGGTGACTGACATAGTGATCAACGCACAGCCCAAACCACTGGACGGATCGGGCTGAAATTTGGCATGCAGGTAGATGTTATGACGTAGGCATCCCCTAAGAAAGGGTTTTGATAAATTCCACCCCTAAGGGGATAAAATAGGGGATGAAAGTTTTTATGAAACTTTGTCAATTTTAAACCGATCAGGCTGAGACTTTGCATGCATAAAGCTACTATGACATAAGCATCTTCCATCCCTAATGGGATAAATTATCGCGAGCGAAGCCGCGGGCAAAAGCTAGTATAATATATATGTAAAGACGTCCTATACTAAATGCGATAGTTTAATTTAAAGTCATAAATAATACATCTATATCAGATTATTATCATGGCTATAATTTGGCATGTTTTGTATAATTTCCTTATTCTTAAAACTGCACTCTTAATAATATGTTTTTCTGCGTAACTCAAAACCAAATAATTATATTTATAACATATATATTTTTTGTAAATACCATCTAAATTAGGTAATAACACAGATCTGTTAATATAACATAGTAATAGACGTGTTTTTGTAATGGATACTTAATACAAAAACAAAATCTCTCTCTCTCTCTCTCTCTCTCTCTCTCTCTATCTCTCTCTCTCAGCTCAGCTCTCTAAAAACCGAAGGCTCGAAGGACCAAAATGTTTGCTTACTTTTAGAATGTACACTGATTTTAATAGTGACGCCACGGAACGTTCGAGAAGAAGTGCAAAATGTATATAAAGTTATATAAAACAACATCGACGTTCAATGCGTGACGTTCCAAATTTGAATTTTATAATTTTATTTTTAATTGTAATCATATGACTATTTGCGATCGCAAACATCTAATATTATTTTTAAAAAAATCTTTGAGTTTTAAATACATATCAAGAAACACTGTGGCTATACTTTATTTTAAAAAATGCAAAGATCCCTATAATTTCACAATTATACAATATTAAAGAAAATAAAGATATAGTTACACTTTTTGACGTATGCATTGTGTAACAAAACTCAACACTTTGTTTATAATTAAGAATTAACTAAAATATTTTTTGAAATATTTCACCAAATCGTCTGTGTTCTTTTATAGATCGTGACAAATCGCCGAGACAGAACAACAACGTGGCTTATTGTGTCGAGAATCCAGCGGAGAATCTTATTACACGAGTAAGAATATAACATTTATATCATCATCATCATCATCGCAGCCCGGAAGACGTCCACTGCTGGACATAGGCCTCCCCCAAAGATCTCCACGACAATCGGTCCTGCGCTGCTCGCATCCAATGCCTTCCAGCGATCTTGACCAGATCGTCGGTCCACCTTGCTGGAGGCCTTCCCGTTTCTGCGTTTATATAATAAACAAATATTAATAATAATAAGCTTGGACAATATATACAGCGCCATCTAGTGCCAAGCTAAGCAGAGCTTGTGTTATGGGTACTAAACAACTGATACAAATACTTAGACATATTTTATTGTAAATAGATACATAATATATATAGAATACCCCGACTAAAACAAATAATCATATTTATGATTACAAATCTTCGCACCTTGCGAGGAATCGAACCCGCGACCATTGGAAGTAAAGCCATGTGCTAAACTGCTAGACCATTGAGCCCGTTAATAAATATATACTCTGTTGTCTTCTCTCGTTTATATATTTGGTTCTTCTCCTCTTCTCCACCAGGTACTGACGGAGCAGGGCCTCGGCAAGTATTGTGACAAAGATTTCATCCAGAGTACCTCGCGTGAGATGCAAGAGGCGCTCGATCTCACTCAGGAGGAGATGGATACGTGAGTATCATGATATGTGTAATGAGATATCTCTACCTGTCCCTACAAACGTTCATTTATAAATTACTAGATACTCGCCCCGGCTTCGCATGGGTATACATATATTATATATATAAACCTTCCTCTTGAATCGCTGTATCCATTAAAAAAAACCGCTTCAAAATCCGTTGCGTATCTTTAAAGATTTACGCATACATAGGGACGGGCAGACAGCGACAGCGACTTTGTTTAATACTATGTAGTGATAATTTAAAATCGCTATTAAAAAATAGGGGTTGATGTTGGAAGGGTGAAAATTTTGGGTTTTAGTATTTAATAGCCAGTAGTTGTTAAATAGCCAATTTATCGAGGAAAGCTATATACTATATAACATCACGCTACGGCGAATAGGAGCGGAGTTGCACAGGAAAAGGGAGTTAAGTTAAATATGATGCATACGAAATTACGTGTATCAATTAATTATATTTATTGTTTACAGTGCTGCTAATCAAATAATTTTGCAAGAGAGAAAAATAAGCACAGCTCAGAACATGACCAATAATGTGGTGAGTTATATTTGTACAATAAAACTAGTGTCCATGTAAATAGAAAGAGACAATATATTTATCCAAATAAAGTTAATATAAGCACTTTTATTTTATTAAATTAACATGTTAATCTGATGTATAAGCTGTAAAGTTTCATCAAAATCCGTTCAGTAGTTTTTGCGTGAAAGAGTAATAAACATCCATACTTACAAACGTTTATAATATTATTAATACTAGCTGACTAGTTTTGCCATATAAATTAAAAGTGCTATTAAAAAAAGGGGTTGATGCTAGAAGTGTGAATAGGGTTGTATGTATTTTTTAGTGCCACGTTATACAAAACACAAAAACTATTTAAAAATTTTTAAAAATCTTAGGGATGGACAACTTTTATCACTTAGAGATATGAAAAATAGATAGTAGCGGATTATCAGATCTACTGAATATGCATATAAAATGTCATAAAAATCGGTCAAGCCGTTATGGAGGAGTGTGGTAACTAATATTGTGACACGAGAATTTTATATCTTATTAATATTATAAACGGAAAAGTTTGTGAATATAGATGTATGTTTGTTACTCTTTCACGCAAAAACTACTGAACGGATTTTGATGAAACTTTACAGTAATATAGCTTATACAGAATAACATAGGCTATAAATTTCATGCGGCTGAAACCGCGGGCACAGCTAATGTAAGATTATTTTAACTATGTTTCAGAAAAGCTTATATTTTAACTATGTTTCAGGAAAGCTTATATTCAAGGCAGTATCATCCCTTCCATCAACCCCCGTTGCAGGCTCCCCCTCGTGGCAAATAAAGAAACCCACAATGTGCTTCTCGTTTTGGATTCCTCGTTTTCATATCTACATCGGTTGGTACCGATTAGATTTTGTATTTAATACCCTGCCCGGGTACCGAACGCGGGCCCGGAGGCTTCGAAGATTTACCTTCAATGAATTGAAGTGGTTAGGATTTTTTGATGAATATTTTGTAAATAAAATTATGATACTTCGCTTGTGTTAGCTTCGATTTCTGATATTGGTAAAGATTTTTTCGTATATTTAAGAGAGTCGTTAAGTTTTCTTTCATTGATTTATGTAATGAGAGATTGGATTGTTTGACTTTTTATCCCCCATTCCTATAGTATTAATTCCCATTTAGATATAACTATCAGCCGACTTCAAATAAGGAGATTCTCAATTCGACTGTATTTTTTATTATGTGTGATACCTAATAACTTCACCTTTTTCCTGCACATCCTTAAATGATTTCACAAAACAACAATTTCTCCGTGCCATGACGAAAAATGAATCAAAATTTAATTACAACAATTCACAAAGATTTCTACGTGAACCGATTATGATATTCTTTTTATTTAATAGCTGGTGCTTCTTATAGTTACATATAAATTTGATCCAGATCTGACCAGCAATTTATAAGTTATTCTTATCTAACTACTCGCCCCGGCTTCGACTGGGTGTACATGTATTATACATATAAACCTTCCTCTTGAATCACTCTATCTATTAAAAAAATCACTACAAAATCCGTTGCGTAGTTTTAAAGTTTTAAATATACATAGGGACGGACAGACATCGACAACGACTTTGTTTTATACTATGTAATGATAATGCATTTGACGCACATTATTTTCGTTACTCGAAAACGATATTATTATTATATTTTAACCAATTTAAAATAAATAAGTTTATTTTAAAATTTGTTAACTCGGAATTGCGTCATTTATAAAAAGATTATTTTTTTTAATGTAAGCATAGTGGTTCAATCATAAGCATCCTTCAATTCTTATCCCTGACGGGTCTAGGAATCGACTCTGAAAATGGGCGAGCACAATAGATCTATGCAGGTCGCAGTGCTACAGGTCCAAGCACCTGACAATAGCCCAAATAATCCAATAAAAAAATACTAGTTCTATAGAGATTTTATCAAAATGAGTTTAGTAGTTTGGTCTAGAATAAAATAGTTTTGTCATCATGATGTTTATAGTCACTAGAATAGTCCCAGTGTAGAAAATTTGACTTATGACTTCATCATTAAATTGTGAATGATGATGATGAAATGAAGTAATGTAAACTAAGCCGTATTTCTTACCGATTGAGGTCGAGTTTTTTATGGTACTGAATGATTTATTATATTACATTGTATTTTAATCAATATCGTCCGATTTTAGGATATAAATAAAAAAATATTATTTTATACATAAAATAGTGTACAAAGTGATTTATTGGATTGTACAAATTTTAATATTAAAGTATAAATCAGCGAGCGACTTTTATACATATTTTTCACGTGTACATATATTTTAAAATGTATTAATATAAATTTTAAACAACTAAATATTGTGGCGATGTGCCTTATTTATCTATATCTATATAAATGTAAGATATGCCAAGTATAATATTGTGCCAAAGGGCAGAGATGCCTTGAATATTATATATTTATGATGTACCCAGGCTAGTATAGCGTCTATTTGTTGCCTGTCTGTATTTATAAAGTATTTTCTTCCATACATATATATTATTAGTATAAAAGAATGTCTTATATGTATATATAATATTTTTGAAAATCAGAGTAAAATCTAGTCAAATATATAGGCTTGCTTTGATATGTTTAAATGAATTTACGTAAGACGAGATATATAAATATATATTTTAATGTCGTATTTTGTATGAAATATATTTGTTACTGTGAGTAAAACTGTTGGGACAAATTTTAACATTTGTTTAATTTTTTATTTAGTATTATATTTATTTTTATTTTTTTTTATTACCCTCACGCATACAGGTGAGATAAAGGCCCCTTTATGGGAAGCTGTTTTATTAAATCTGCAGCGATGATGATATGTTGGCTCCTATAATTAGATAACCTACAAATCGGCCCTACAAATTAACACTGCATTTTATAAGAGCAGGCACTATCCTTATGTGATTATGACAGCTTCAGTGGTCTAGCGGTTTAGAAGACCGCTTTATTTCCGATAGTCGCGGGTTCGATTTCTCGCACGGCACAAACATTTGTATTCACGAGTATGATTGTTTGTATCGGTCTGGATGTTTTCTATGTATATTTTGTAGATATGTATTTATGAAAAAAATATCTATGTTATATAATAAAAATATGTATGTATTAGTATCAGTTGTCTAGTACCTATAACACAAGTTTTAGCTAGCTTAACTTGGGTCTAAATGGCGCTGTGTGAATTGTCCTGAGATTATTATTATTAAAAGACACAAAAGCAAAGGTTGGGGACGTTTTACTTAATGTGGACCAAATTGCGTGTGTTTTAAGTAACTGCAAGGAACATATTATAATAATTATCTTATTGGTACAGTTGACATATTTACAAATAGTGAGAAGCTGTTCGAGAGCCCTGGATTGGTCGTCTTATTCTTATGGTTTTTTTTCCGGACTATTCTGCAATTGGCCACAGCTTGCCTTAACAACTTCATCGGACGATAGGGACCGAGTGCAGATGGCACTCCAAACCCGCGGAAGAACTTATGGACCGGCTGATGACTAACTCCCGCCTGACTGATACGACTTTAGTCTGAGGGCACCACTACGGGTTAGAATTGGACGGGGATCGATCGGAGGGGATGGAGATGCGGTGTGTCCCATTCCTACGGACGTCATATGATCGCGATGGAGATTAGTTCTCGAAATGCTAATGCGTGAGATAATGTGTAATGTACATGGACTCTGTTGGCTGCAATTAGCCTCTCATTTGGACCGTTGTGTGTGTTGAGTCGAGACTACTAGAGTAGCCACCCAAGTTCCTCCCAGAAGTGCAGGAGTCTCCTGGTGACTTCACAGTCTTCACGGAGCGACCTCACCGTTCCGAGGATTTGAAAAATAACGCATGAGATATAGATGCATCAAATGATACGTGATACTGCCTATGAATATACAACGGTTACCACTTACCAACAGGTTGGCCGAAAGCCTGTTTGCCATACCAATTACATAAAACATTTATATAAAGCTTTTAAAAATTTACGGAAGTGGAATAAAGCTACATTTGAATTCTCTAAAATATTTATAACCACATTATTCAAGAAATAATAACTGTATTGTATATCTTTTTAACAGTTATCAGTGTCAACATCTTTTAATTCTTCCATTTTTTCAGATATTTCAGCTTTCAGTTCATTTATTAGAATATTTAGATCTTCGTCGTTTGATTTATCATCATCCTTCGGTCGTGATTCATTGTTTTTCTCATGAAACAATTGTGAAAAATTATTTCTGATTGCTGAAAAAGTCTCTGGGTTTGGATCTGATGCATTGTTGTGACTGGTAACATTCAAAAGATCTGTTATTGTTTTATCAAATTTTCTAGACTCTTCAGTTTCTTGCCTGAACGGTATTTTAGTGTCACTTATTATCACTGGAAATATACGGTTTGGATCATCAAAATTATCTTCAATTATGACTCTATCTATGTCTTGAGACTCTTCTTCCGTGACCTGTGGAATATATTCTCTGCTGTGTTCCGATTTATTAGACATATCAACAATCTCATCTTGTAGCCTTTTTATAAGTATTTCTAAATTAGAGATTTGTCTGTCAATATCGTTAGTAGATTCATCTAGAGCATTGTTCACAACTGTTGATGATACTGTAAGTTTTCTTGTATTACTTAAATCCTCTTTGGATCTCCTGTTAATCTCGTCTCTTATTTTCTCGATCAATGAATCTACTGTTGATTTTTTTGCATTTTCATCCGGAATCTTCTCCATATTTATTCCAAATATCGTTTCATTCTTCTTTTACATTCTTCTGCCTTTTCCCTTCTGCGTCGTTCTTCGCAGGGGTCGTATGGAGGGGGCGGAGGAGGAAGCGGTGGTACTGGACAGCTAGGCCAAGGAGGATCAGGATGTGATGCAGTAGCGTCTAATATTTGATCGCATCGATCAGTAGTTGTTAACTCTCTCTCGACTTTACAAACAACTGTTATATGTGAACTTGGGGGTACAGGTGGATTTTTTATTCGCTCAACGCAAAGTGCAAAACACGGTGGAGGAGGTGACGGTTGCCTGATCGGTTCCTTAGGGCATATCTTAATGCCAGCTTTCTCCTTCAATCGTATCCTTTGTATTGTGCAAGGGTCAGGCGGAGGCGGTTCTGGTACTGGTATTACTGTGCATTTTTTTGTATTCATAATCGGAACATGGTTGTTATTTATGAAAGCTTTTATGAATTATAGGTGATTTATGTTGTCACTTTCTTTTGGTATATTTTTGACAGCTATTCTAAGTGTATTATATGCCAGTATTAAATTAACAGTTCTGAATAGGCCAAAGAAATTCCTGCGGATGGTCTCTTTTACTATTCCAGTTACTTAAAAAAGACAGTTCTGATTTGTCTATTTTATTACATTTTTGCATAGTATCCAATATAGGTACTATATAATCGCCTCGGGTTCTCATGGAAATTTATGATAGAAATTATTTTGAAAATATAGTCCACATTAATGTGCCATAATTCTTTTTTTAATGAATACAATATTGAAAGTTGTTTTATTTATTTAATAAATCTTTCAATAAGAAGGATAATTTCAGTATACATTTCAGAAGTTAGTCAATTTTACTATTGACGTCTTCAACTTTACAGTTTATTGGTCTATGTGGTTGTGGGTTTTTTATTCTTTGAAAGCAGAGCATGGGCTCGTTGCAGGATTTTTTTGTCTTTTTACCATCAGTGCATGGAGGTTCGGGTAGGTCACAGGGATGCGGAGGATCCACCTTTGCGCAGGCCTTCACGTTTATAAACGGCCCTGGAAGACACCTAGCTGTAGAATTAAGAGAAACTTTTAATAAATGCAATAGCAAATATACTAACGGTTCACCTGATTGTAAGTGATAATGTTTTATGTATATCAAATATTTGTAGTAATAATTACACAAAGCTATTTGGAGCTCTATACACGAAATACGAGGTACTCTTTGCACAAAGTCTGACTCTGGTAGCTTTTTTTAAACCAAGGTATTCCAACGAATCTCCTATTGTCGGAGTCACGGATTCGCAATGACAGTCCGCGATTCCGGATTTTTCCGTAGTTTAGAGTCTAGTGTCCTTGGAACTGTATGAGAAAGGGATGGAAAATGCATAGTGGAATAGACATAAAATTCTAAAGAAAAATTTTTTTAAGATTCCTAAAGTCGTAGGTAACAATTTTATTATAATATATGTATATACTGAGGTAAGATTTTTATTAAATTATGCTACCTCTTCCTTTCCTAATAAAGCGGAAAGGTAGCTTACTGACTTTAATACTTATAATTAAATATCAATTCACTATTACTGAGAGTGTCATGGCCTAGTGGTTTACTCTGCTGAATCACGTCTAAGTGGCCGTAGTTCAAACCAGATCGACGCTTACGCCCAAATGGTCGTGAGTCTAAACCTGGCCAACACCAAAAAAATTGCGATTGAATTCTCAAAAACTGCGTCTGACTCTTATAAAACCAAAAATGTTCGAAGGTAGAGTTGTTTTTTAAATTAAATTAATTACATCAAAATTGATAATAAGAAAATCTTACTAATTTCGGTCTCCCAAGCTGGATTCTTAAGTCTCTCTAGACATACATATGGCTGCGGGCATTCTTCGTCCGGCTTTTTTAATGGATCACACGGCGGTGGTGGATCACAAGGATGAGGTGGTATGTATTTTGCGCAGGTCCTAACATCGATACGATCCGGTAGTCTTGGCATTTTCAAATTATATTACTGTTTACTTTTGTTAAAAGAAAAATAGTTATCTCACTGTATATATTTGACTATCTGCAAAATAGAAACCGTGAATGAATTCCTTACAAACAAACAGGAAAGGAGAAAGGAGAGTAATAGATGTGTTTAGATGAGTTATATGGCTTTATTCTTTTATTTTTTTGGATTGTGTGAAAGATGACACATATGTATAATAAGAAACATTACATTCAACATAACATTCAAAAATAAATTTTGTATGCTCAGATATGACGTTTTACCATAGTTTATAGAAAGAGATAGTATAAAAGAAGAGTACTCAGATATGACAGATGAGAGCAGAGACACAGCAGTGGAAGAGACAGAGTGGATGACATACAATGCGCCGACCCTAAATAATGACCCTAAAAATGGGATAAAGGCAAGGCAATGATGATATGACTTTATTCTTCTCATAGATATTTTGTATGATCATGAAAGGGTTGAAAAAACGTATATAGTAAGTAGCATCATTGAATAATGAAAAATGTAAACATCTACCATAATATTCTATAACAATATTTTTTAAAGATGATGATAATGGAATGATGCATCCAGCCGAGCTAACTGTTTACGCTGGCGGGACACCAGTGGAGGATGATAAGATGAGCATAAGATCAGTCAGTTAGCTCGTCGTAGTAAATTCACTAGGAATTCATCACGATGGTTTCCAGGGCTACCACATGGAGGTCAACTTGACATGGTATAGTGTTAGCTATGGGGTCATCAGTCTACAACACTAACAATCATATTGTGAACTGGACGGTAGGGAAAAAAAAATTTTAATGTAAAAACTTGACGTTCATAAGCGGCTAAAATGTCCTACATGAATAAATGATTTTTGAATTTGAATTCCTCCATACTAATATTATAAAAGTAAAATTGCGCCTGCTTGTTACCTTTTACGGATCAGAATGAAATTTAACGTGAAGTAAAATTATTTCACGAGAAATAGCATATTTCTACTCTTTATCTAAAGAACAAATGAAGTCTCAGATAATACTTGGTATCTTTACATATTGTAATCCTATACTAAGACGCATTAATCAGAAGAAATACGAGAGCAGAGTCAACAATATGTTTGGTGATATCCGTTCGTATTTATAGGAGACAATTACCATATTTCATTAAGTAGAACTTTGATTCCTTTGCTAATGATGTCACTTATGGAGGCGGTAATGTAAGAAAAGGACTACACTGAAAAATGATTATGCAGATTGGATTCGTTATTCGTCTTCAGATTTAGATTGGCAGCAAGGTTTTTCTGAACATTTACAATTTTCTTCGTGCTTAATATCCTCCTTCACTTTATTTGTATCTTTCAGATTATGAATTGATTCTGATTGTAATACATTTCATTATTTGTTTTCTGCAGTTTTGGCCACAATGCTGTTTTTCAGACATTTTTTCTATTCTCACATTTTTTTTGGATAATTTTACAATCCTGTACTATATGACTTCTGCGTTTGTTTTGTGACATGTTTTGTTAAATAAATTAGATGTATATATATGGCCAGTACCAGTTAACTTATGGAAAAGAATCTTTTTTTTCTGTTAATATCTGTTACAATTTTAGACTTTCTTCTAATTATGTATATACTGACTTATATCTAATAACTCAGTTATATAATTATGAACCCACTTCGGATTTTTTTTTAATTTAGGTACTAGGTATTGTGGTGAAGACATTTCATCTTTCGTCAGTTCAGTCTTTACCTATATCACTTCTTATCATGACCAAGAAATGAGCGTAAAATTTTTCTTTTTATTTGTTGTCTTATTATAGTTAAAGCAATTTAAATGAAATTTGGAATTGTTTGAATTAAGTTCTGAAAGTTCGTAGCACGTCTTTTAGATTTGTATGTAAATAAAAAGTCAATATCTATTTAAATATATGTTTATTCTTTGTATCCTTCTAAGGGATTCATATCAGTTTCTTTCTTTGATATGTTGCTATCCGTTGATATAGTAGAGGAAGTCCTGGACAAAGAGTTCTCTGGTTTTTCATTTTCGCAAAACATTGAGCATAGTTTTGATTTAATAACATTAAACACATTACTAGGGATGGAAGCCGTTTCCTGCAGATTACTATTGTGGGAAATTTCTTTAGGAGATGCTGGTTTGTCATATGGTGAACTATTATCATTGAAATTTTTTATCTTTAATATAGAATTGGTGACAGTATGTATCTGATCACTGATAACTGAAATTGTTGAGTCTACTTTCGTAACTAAATTTTGGAGAACATCTCGTGTTTTTTTAAACTCTTCTGTATATTCTTCACATTCCCTAGTTTCTTGTGAGTCTGGAAGAGTTTCTGAATTATCATTCACTTTTGTATTTGTCGGTGGATCTGCATTATTGTTACTTTCTGATTTCTTTGTTGTTATTTTACATAACTGTCGGGTGCTTTCTTTCGTTACAGCTACAGCATCTTTAGTCATTTTGTATACTTGACCAAAGAAATCTTCTGCTGCAACTTTAATAGTAGTAATTGTTTCTCCATGCGAGTCCAGTATACCTTTACGCATTCCTAGTGTACTATGAGAAGAACAAGGCTTACAAGTTTTTGAACATGGACTTTCTTCTGATTCTATATTACAGGAATAACTGCTAGAACTAGCTATTTTTGTTTTACTAGGTTTCTCTTCGCAACATTGTATTAAAATTTTATCTTTGCATTTAGGAGTATGATCGCTTTTAGAACATGATACCGCAGGTAAATCGTGTTTAGATGTTTCACGTTCACTGCAACTATCTATTGGAGGCGGACATGTATTGTCTTTTTTTTTGCATCGATGTTTTTCTTGAAGAGAGGGACAATTTTTTGTGTCTTCATTTTTGGAATTTTTATTATCACAATTCATAATAGTTTCAGATGTCGAATTTGTTTTTTGTAGCACACAATTTTTAGACAGACACTTAGTTCTATTAGTATAACTCGATTTCGGTGTACAGATTGGTTTTTGTTTATCACAAGTATTTGGTGATTTACTGGATTTTAGAGTTCTGTTTATTTGTGATGAGCCACTTGGCGTTTTAGTACAACTAGATCTCGGTGTACAAGAAGTGCAGGCGTCTACTTGGCTATCACTGATTATTGATAAGCTCCCTTCTTTATTTTTTATATTTTTACTGTCATCTGTTACTTCAATGCAAGGTTGGTAATCAGGCAAATCGTCTTGTATAGATTTTAATGTATCTTGTATTAATTTCTCTTCTAAATCAGGACAGTCTTGTGGATATGACTTGAGGTAAGGTTTAATTACTTCTCTACAGTACTTGTATCTATTGGCTACTGCGTCGTCGGTAGGGCTTTTAGATTCATCGGAATGATCGCGTGTTTCTTCTATAAAACTATCCCTTATAACAGTAATAGAATTGGAATTCTCCGAATCCTTTATTATTTGGTTGAATTCAAATTGTTTTAAGCAGCTTTTGTCTACTTTAATTAAGGTGTCTGACCGACACTGTTGCGAATCAGTAGATGAACCAGAATCTTTTAAGATAGTTTTCTTTGTTTGCGTCTCCTTATGACAAATTGCTAAAATTTTTGATATGTTACAATCGTCTAAGCTCGATTTGTCAGGTAACATTTGTATTGACGTAGATAAGTAGCTTATTTTTATTATATTTATTTACTTACGTTACACATTTTGTTTGACGGTTTATATTTAGCCAGATATTCATGGCTTTGTTCGAAAGGCATATCATTTCTGTTGAAGTTTCATGTTCGATCAAAAAATACACTGTTCTAATTTGTTTTGTCACGTCATTTTATTGACAACTAATTTTCTTTTTTATATAAACTACCAGAAAAAAAGTAACCTGTTATCCTCGACATTTTATAAATGTAACCATTTTCTAGTTTTGATTTTGCTCAGAATAAAGTTGAATATTAATCAGGCTACCTTCTTGTATCATAAAGTATATAACTGTAATGATGCAATATGATAGAAATATAGAAAAAAATGTTTAACTTAACCTGTATTTTTCCTATATTTGTCGTCAAACAGCAACTTCACTGATTTAGAAGAGGGTAGTAAAATATTCTATATTAACTTATACCTTCTTCCTAGAAACATAAATAAATTGATGTAGGTATATTTTATAATAACATGTGTTTTGTCATTTAAGTAGCATATAAAAAAAGGGAAATAAAGATTATATTGAAAAACATATGTTTGAATTTTGACTATTTATTGAAAGTATGTTTATTGCACATTATAACACTATAACTATCACTAAATATTTATATGTAGATAAAATAAAATAAAATGAAATAAATAAAATATAAATAAAAAACTTGATAACAGTTTTTATTATCTCCGTGGTAATCAAAATATCTTAAATCTGGAAACTGATATAATAACTGTAGCTAATGAATCACCAGTAGATTCTATTGCATTCTTTTTTATTTTCCTCCTAAATAAATATTAGCCACTCTTCTTCTTCTTTTTACATTTCGAAGCGTCAGGTTTCTTCTTACAGAGTCGTTTTGGAGTATCGTCATCGTCTAGCGGAGGTACACAATTCTCTTTAATCTCTTTTGTACATACTGGCTTTGGTGTTTCTTTATCTTCTTCTTTGTGATTACATTTCTTCTTTTCATCACTCATAACGGCTGGCTGTGGTGTTTCTCCATCCTCTTCTTTGTGATTACATTTCTTCTTTTCTTCACTCATAACGGCTGTGTTATAATTATTTCTATTACTTACAATGTCGTTATATCACATTTTTCTACTGGATATTGAGAAATTCAAATTGACTTTCACGTTCACAAAGTTTCTCATCTGTTCGTATAGAGAATTAAAGAATGATTTGGTTACTTTGAAAACCTTACGTTTCTTAATATTGGGATTGGATTGGGATATTGGGACAATTAATTTAGACTTAGGAATGTTTTATTTCACATTTGTGTAGTGGAATTATTACATTGTATTATTTTATTACTTGTTTTATAAATTTTTTGACATTGTTGGTGATTAATTTTTTTTTTCTTTTTTATGGCTTGCATTGATTTACATTATTATATATATATCAAGAAAATGAATGTTTTTATATTAAAATAGGTTTTATATATTTGTTTATGTAACTGGCATTGTAAATAATCTGATGATGATGAGTAACACCGTCGTCTATATACAGGCTGTTCTAATTTTGATTCTAAAACTAAGTAAGTCATAAAAGTATATCACAAATGTGCTTCATTTCGTTCTTGGTATACTGGTATATGAGCAATAACATCATGTCATCATGTTTATATTAAAATAGGTTATACTCTCCAAAATCAGAAGCATGATGAGTAACTATGAGAACGTCGGTGGTCTACCGGTTTAGCGAATAGAATAGAAAATAGAATAGAAAATCATTTATTCAAATAAACTTACATTGAAGCACTTTTGAATAGTCATTACATTTTTTTTAATCTACCGCTCGTTCGGAAAGCTGTCTCATCACAAGAAGAACAAGCAAGAAACTTGTGTGTTGCTCTTTTAAATAATTTTATTATTACTTTACATTTTTAAGTTTAAGTGTGTGAATACAAACCACCAATTAGCACTAATTCAATTAAATACTCAAATAGAAAAAATATTGAATATATAACCAACTGGTTAAACAATTAATAAGAGGAAATCAGTCATAGTGATTAGCGAACTATCTTACTTCGGGTTATGGAGATTGTTAGTAATGTGGACTGATAACCTGTTGTTAATAATGTGGAATAATGTCATCAGGTATAATAATAATCAGGTTGTTCTCCATGCGGTTCCCCCTGGAGACCATGGTGAAAAATTAATATCTTTAATTTTTTTTCATTCCATACAAATCTGTTAGAAAACTACATTACTACTTCTAATAGTTGCGAGATTCCTCGCACGATGTTTGCGATACAAATGGTTTTATCGATATATGAATATGGTTTTTATGTATTTACAAATAAAATATGTTTCAGCTTTTTAATCACTTATCCAAAAATCTATCTAATTTATTTCTTTGTAGATTTGTTTTTATGTATGTTTATATATATTTGACGATTTATATATACATTTTTTTTCGGACTACTCTAATGCTGTTGGCCGTAGCTGGCCTTTACAGCTTCACCGGACGTTAGGGGCGAGTGCAGATGGCACTCCAAACCCGCGGAAGGACTTATGGAGCGGCTGAAGGCCAACTCCTGCCTGACGGATACGACTTTAGTCTGAGGGCACTACTAGGGGTTCGAACCTCGGCTCAGGCCGTCGTAATTTTGATCCCCGTTTGAATTGGACGGGGGATCGATCGGAGGGGATATATATACATGAACGGCAATTATGCAGATTTATAGTTATTTTGTATTAACAATTGGAATAAACTATAACAGCACCGACGAATTGAGTGTTTGAAGACAAGGTAAGTCTAATCTAAAATATACGTTTCTAGCTGCTAGCTATGAGTTCGTTTAAAGTCTACCTAGGTACCTAATCATATATAATCATACCTAATAATTAATAATTTAAAATTTAGAAATTATTTTTGTTATTGTTATGTAACAAATAAACTATTTTCTTTCTTTCTTTCATAATGAAGGTGAAATGGTTTGTAAAAAATAAACATAACTTTATAAACTCATATTATGCTTTATTTCGTACTGGTGCGTTTACCTTACAAATATACTTATTACAAATTAAACAAAACGTTTTATCTGTCTATTCATTACATGTGATGTATCACTTATCAATCGATATGCTTTCCACAAATCAAAAGCACTTCACAAATAATTACGTTCAATAAATAGGAAATATAATGCATAAAAAATAATTAGTTTTAGTATTTTTTATATTCTGATGATTCATTTATACATAATGGGCCTCGTTATTTTATGCTCAAATATAATAAAATATTTAAATTATATTTTTATTAAATAAAATACAAATAAGTATAAAGATATAAAACATCAAATTGAGTAATTATTATACAATTTATATATTTAATCGTCAACATAAACGAAGTATAATTAGAAAATAATTAAGTTAATGTTATTGTAAATGCCAAATTTAATGTAACAATATTTAATAATCTAAAATTGTAAATAAACAGTTCCACATTATAATGTATAAAAATATAAATAATTTTGTATTTATTATAAATAATTATACAATTCAGTATAAAATGAAGTCGCTTCCGTTGTCTGTTTGCTTAGACTACGCAACGGATTTTAATGTAGTTTTCAGCAATAGATAGACTGATTCTAGAGGTTAAAATATATAAATATATTTTAAAAATCTAATATTTATGTTGACGATTTGTATCATTAGACAGTAATATATGGGCCCATTGTTATTTCTTTGGTGAAATGTTATTGCTTTTAAAATAAACTATGTTTTAAAACACTGGTTTGTATAAAGACAGTAATATATTCAAGTCTTTGGTGTGTCTCTAAACTGTATGTTGATTGATTTAAAATATATCTTTCATAAAGCATGCTATATAACGAAAACGCAAGGCAAGTTAACATTTAAACATTATGTTATATTTACAAAAAAAAAAATATAAATATAATGATTATATATGTAAAAAATAATAAAAATGGACGGAACCGATAAGACATTTCAACTAATACTCGTTCATAATATAAAATAAGAAAACAATATTCTAAAAGGATTTGAACATATTTTTTTTATAATATATTAATAATTTGCAACGTACATTACGAATGAGGTACAATAATGTCACAAATTCCTCAAACGTAATCTACATTTAACTAGAAACTAACACTTTAAAAAAAAAGTAAAAAAGAAACAAGTAATCTCATAGTAATTTCAGAACCAACCTAAATAAAATACTAAGTTCATGACTTTCATATTTGTTTTGAAGCTTGAGGCATTCAAATATACATTATTTATAACAATACAAAAAAATAAGTTACATAACTTATATGTATAACGATATTAAATGTAAGGGCTATGACGTTGTGCATTAAGGACAGCTTAAATAAAATTTAATGAAATAGACAATAATATATTAAGGCTCACGTATCTAAAAGTATTACATAAAATTAAGTACTATTTTGTAACTACGTTGAGGTAAAAGAAACAAGAGAATCGTCACTTTAATCCTAATAATGACAATAAATGAATTACATTTAGTTTCATTAAAATACATTATGTACATCTTAATGTTAATGGAAATTTATTAACACTTTGGCTCTCTCGTGCATGCATATTTTTCATTAACTAAATATAATGAGTATAAATGATTTTTATTTCATTTATTAAATAAAAAATAATTAGAGAAAGCAAATAGTTTACTGACCCTTTAGTTATGCAAGGATAATAACCAAATTATATGTAATAAAATTGATGTTTATTCACACGATTAACAAATTACATTAAGTAAAAAATTATTAAATCGACTTTTATAGTTAAGACTTTAAATACTATTTCCTTTTGTTATGTTTACAATTGTACATATATTTGAATCGGATATTTTTCATGATGTTATCTCAGATCTATCCGTGACGAGGACGTATGTTATAGCGTCGAAATATCGGGAGTTCTTTAATAATATTATCATGTAAAATATCTCATTTATATAATGTGTACAATTAAAACTTTATAGTCGAATTAATGTTATATTTTTACTTAATGCATTTATTATTTCGATATATGTATATACATATTTTTAGTTTTCACTAAGGAAACGGTGAAGATGTAATTAAATTAGGATTCTCACAGGGTTCTTGTATGTATATGTAATGAAGTGTCCATTATCACTTAGTTTGTTCGTTGTGGCTCGCCGTCAGCTATTGCTCGCACGGCGTCCGTTGATATCTGGAAAGAAAATAATATGTAAATATACATATATATGTATTATATAATTGGAATGTCTAACATATACATCTATTATTTAATTAGAACGGCCAATAAGTTCACGGACACGATGGTAAGTGTTAACCGTCGCGTCATGAAAAGCACTACGGACATCACGTTATCATCTGGCAAGTTTTCTCTAGAGACTACAGCATGGGGAAGAAATATATTAAGGTGAATGGCTATAAAATTTTACAATAAGATACTGGAATTACATACAAATAAATGTAAAACATCTGTTAAATGACAATAGTAGCTCATGCTAGGGTTTTTAATTTAGTGTTATATATAGACACCTATATAAGTTAACAAATTAAAAAAACTGGCTTTAAAAAAAATCAGGTTTCTTGTTAGTTCTTATCAATTGAATCTGTATATTGAACTGGACGGTAGGGAAAACATATTAATACAAAAAAATTTTGGTTCCTGAGCGGATAGAATGTCCTACATAAATAAATTATTTTTGATTTGATATGATTTGAACCAGTACATTAATAAATAACCTTATATCGATTCAATTGCAACGCACTATCTTGAAATTGAAACAAGCCTCTGAATCGTACAAATCACGGACTTTGAAATAAAACTTTAAATGTGTACGCAGTAGAATCACTTAAATTTAATGCCCCGTAAGTTATGTTGGGCTCCCTAGGGCCATTCCCTGCCCTTTGTCGGCAGTTCCTATGGGACCCATAGGGACAAGTCGACAAATGTGCGAAAGAATACCCCCATTGTGTTCCGATTGTATTGCGAGTTGCTTTTTTTTGTGAAATTAATTTATAAGTCATTTTGTAATTGATATGTTATTGTGAAGTCGGATTGTTATTGGATGACAATTGTGTTGGATGTTGATGAATCAATAACGTATGGTGATGAGTTATTTGTTCAGGCACATAATTTTTCATATAATAAACATAACTGACCCCCACATATTCGTAAGAAGCCCCGTTCTTGGAATATTTTTCATTATTGATTTTATCGTATAGATATTATCGTCGTGGTATTATTATAATCTTCGTTGACAAATAGGATTCAACATATTTTTTTTCAATTCACGCCAGTTCCTATATGTAATGAGGTTAGCGAATAGAAAACAAACTCTTCAACTAGTTAGATCTACGCTACATCCTAGGTCTTGCCATCATTTACCATCAGATGAGGTAGGACCAAGCGCAATCCCATTATTAATAATAAAGAAAAAAAACTTTATAATATAATGTACCGGTTGGATTTTCTGCTAGTTATTGTAACTAAAGTAACTATCCGGACTGGACGAGTAGAAAAAAAATTACATTGAAACTGATGAGTTTAGAAGATCTTGGTTTTTAGACCTCAATTGTCCTAAATAAGTTTATATCTATAAAAAAATTGCTAGCTTACGGATATCACACGAATAAACAGATTTCGCTGGTTTGTTTTAAATCCACCTTGAGATATCCCTCCTGATCACTGCACTCAAATCTAAAGCACAGAGCACAGAACAAATACAGATCTACTATATAATGAATATGTACTTTATGCTGTACGTTTTAGAGTTGAAAATAAAACAATTGTTTGGAAAACTACTTATACACATATCCTATTTATTTCATACCTTTGATCCGTCACCTCGGGGGATGGGGTCCGTACAATTTAATAGAGTATCGGAACAAAATACAGATAAACAAAATATTTCACTACTGAGTAGTTTCTGCGCCGCAATTCTATCTGAGCTCGCAATTTTGTACACGCATAACTTTTGCAAACGGATTGGAATAAAAGAAACATAATTCTAAGTGAAGCTTACCACAACGCATAAGTAAAAACCGCACCCAAATCGGTTAATCCGGTTTTAAGATTTGCCTGATAGAGGCGCAGACGAAATCTAAAAATCGTTTGATTTTATTATGAGTAAAGTATCATTGCAAAGTGCTCTACATATACTATATTTTATCCATGGAAATAACATATTTGAGATAAAGGGCTCATATATTTCTATACTACTCGTGCTTGCGGTTTCACCTGAGTTAAATTTATAGCCTATATGTTATTCTAATGTATAAGTTATATTACTGTAAATTTTCATCAAAATACGTTTAGTAGTTTTCGCGTGAAAGAGTAACAAACATCCATCCATACTCTTTGTGAATACCATACTTTCGTGGTTATATAATATTAATAAGATAATCCAATTATAACTGTTGAAATATATATGCGACGGTCTGATGACTAGAGATGTTATGCTTCTTCGATAATTTCACTGCCATGTACCATCATTTTAAATGGTCATACTATTTAAACAATGTCTATCTAGGTAGATCATAAACAGAATTCTAAATAATTGTAAATTATATATATATAATAATTAGAAATGTGCAAGTGTATTTGTCTGTTACCGTTTTATGCTTTTGTGTTTATATTGTAGTTTTTACATTGCACTGAATAAAATATTTTTCTTTCTTTCTTTTTTCTAGTGTGTGAGGATGTTGGGATGACGTTCTTTCTTTAATTGGGAGAGTTTTCATTGTTTCTACTTGCCAAAATAAAACATCAAGGAAGATCAATATATTTAAGAAATTTTTTTTGTAAATAATTTGGAAAGATTATGGGTATTTATATTGCTATTATCATTATTATTAAAGTGCTAGTTATTAAAAGAACTTGTAATTGGAATCAGGCAGCAAAATACATTAGTTAAATCAGCATTTACTTTTCAAATTCAAAATATCTTTATTCATGTAGGTCTATTACAGACTCTCATGCTATATCAAATCTACCGTCAGTTCGGATTGATTTCGAGATGAGAAACTATTGACAAGAAATTGTTTGTACAGCTCGTATTCCTTTCAGATAAATATTATACATATTTACAATAATACAATTTCATTTAAATTCAAATTTGGGAGAATAGAGTGACCACCATCATAAGCTATTGCAAAAGCAAATAGTCTAATCAGTGTCCGTAACACGAACAGACCAGTCCCCACAAGTGACCAATTCAGCAGTGAAACAGTCTCACTGAACAATTAATTTAAAATGGGAATAAAACCAAGATGCAAACGCAACCTTTTAAGGTTCAATCCAATAATAGATAAACGCCAGGTGTTAATATATCTCCCAGAGGTAACGGATGCTCGTCCGAGTGATAAAACGAACAGATTTATTCCGCACACACGGCCGTTTGTTTGCCGGCGGTTTGCCGTTTTAAACTGCAAATAACCAAACATTAATACCGATCTTTCATCGGAACGTTCATTGAGGAGTTATTGATGGAAATGTTCAATGGTAATTGTTTCTTAATAATATTATAAACGCAAATGTTTGTAAGTATGGATGTTTTTTTACTCTTTCACGCAAAAACTAGTGATGAAACTTTACAATAATAGAATAGAATAGAAAATCATTTATTCAAATAAACTTACATTGAAACACTTTTGAATAGTCATAATTTTTTTTTAATCTACCGTTCATTCGGAATGCTGTCTCATCACAAGAAGAACAAGCAAGAAACTCGTGTGTTGCTCTTTTAAATAATTTATTCTTACAATTTAAGTTTAAGTGTGTGAATACAAACCACCGATTAGCACTAATCAATGAAATAATAAAATAGAAAAAACATTCAATATACAACAACTGGTTAAACAATTAATAAGAGAAAATAAGTCATAGTGATTAGAGCAGACCAGTCCACACAAGCAGCACCCGTTCACGAGTATGACGGATGAGCCAGCCACCACTGCGCTCGACCATATTTTAGGGAGCCCAATGACCCGGCCCACCACGCCGCTACAAGTCTGGACATTTTAGTGAGCATGACTACTCAAAACACCAGACCACGTCATAGCTACTCACAATTGCCATCTGATGGTTATATTATTCACATTTCACATAAGAATGCATGCGGCAATCAATACAAAAACCGCTACGCTTTCATATTTCTAAAATAATTAAATCAAGAAAGTAAAGATATTTTATGCATCAGAATAACACATAGGCTCTATTTTATATTGAAATTTAACGTAGTTGAATTCGCGGGCACAGTTATTTACATATAATTTTAAGTATCTGACTCAATTTTGGACATATATGTTGTTTTGACATTTTATTATTTGGAATAATTATGATAAATATTAATTGTTAAATTTATTAATTTAATATTAACATTAATTTAAATTTGTATACTCAGAATGTAGCTGAATATAAAACTGTGTATTTATTTATAAGAACAATGTAACCTATTTAATGCATATAAATAAATATAGTCATTTACTAATGCAGTTATAATTTCTACATTGTATTTTTTTTTTAGAAATAGAAATAATCTTTATTCAAATAAACTCAATACAAGCACTTTTGAATAGTCATATTTTGTTTTATTCTACCACTCATTCGGAATGCAGACTCATCTCACACTCATCAGGGTGTGCAACCCTGTAATTAAACTGAAATGTTTCTTATCTTTATATTAATACGTAAAGCAAAAACATACAAAGATTTTATTTTATGAAAATTGCAGAAAAACAAAATGCTTTTTTTGTAAAATTAGCATATAAAATATATTAAATCAATAAAAAAAACATTACATACACTACCATGTATTTGAGACATATATGCCTTTTGTTTTTTTATTATTACTGGTTTAACGATATTATTATATTTTTTATTATATAATAAAAACAATAATGTACTAGTATTATTGAATAGGTACGTACCACTTGGAGAGGAGGCCTGTGGCGGCTGAGTGCGAGTAAGGCCCGCCGTATGGTGAGTACTGTGAGTATGGGGCTGCGTAAGCATATTCACTCGCTAACGTTGTCGTACCTGAAAATACAAGAATATAAATTATATAAGAATGTATCTGTTTATAGAAAATAAATAGGACATTATGAACTATGTTTCCAGCATTATGCTGAGTTGTGGTACACATTTACTCTGTTTTTTATTGTGTAAAACGAGTTAATAAAATTCTATTCTATTCAATAATATTAAATGGAGGACGAAGACAGCTTATTTCCGCGATCTTTAGTTACTAGCTATATTATTTGATTACCATATAATATATATTAATAAGTACATATATTACATATGTATTAATACATATAATATGAAAATTAAATAGTATATACGCATTGCGTATTTAAGACGTGGCAACTAGTCGCCTAAAACGTTAAAAAAAACACTGAGATAATCTGTAGCATTGATTTTTATATCTACACTGTGAATAAATTTTTATGTGTTATATTTAAACGTAAGTGCATTTAGAAGATATCATAAAAGACGTACAGACACGCCTAACAAGGTCGGGTAGACGAAACTTGTACATAGCGACGCCCCTCGCACGCAATATAACGAACTTTATACGCGTAACCACTCTCAAATACCCCTCCCACTCCCCCCAAGAGTGACAGTTTAATATTTATAACCGAAATAAGCCTACAAACCCGTTTGAAGTACTCGGAGCCACTTCTGTCGCATCACAGACTCGTGTTTCGCTTCGTTACCCGTCCCAGACAAAGCCCGTATGATTTTCTACGCTCCCCTCTCTAAAATTATTTGCATAGAGCCCCGAATGAGCTATTAAAGATGTCTGCTCGCCCCCCACCCTGCTCCCGTCCGGGATAAGCAGATTGTGGTAGATTAAAGACCAAAAGCATAAAGAGAAGTTGCGTCCCCAAGCGCGTACCCTGCGGTACTCCATTTTAGTGCCTCCCTTTGATATGCATAAGTGCGAAAACTCTGTGGTTCTGTATGAATTTTATGATGTTATAACAGTGAGATAGACGGGTCCGAGGAGAAAATTAGATTTCCCTCGAAGTGCCTCGGAGTGGCGTGCTCGACTTTGTCGAAAGCTTTCCTAAAGTCATTGCCGTTTTTTTCAGCGTGATTCCTCGGCTGTTTTTCTGTTCGGCCACTTTTGTTTTTTGCGTTTTCGCTCATTGTTTTATCTCGGCGAGGGTCATATTGTGATCTTTTTATTACGTTCGTAACTTGTGGAAGGCGCGTTTGAATTGATGTCTTTGCTTTGTTTAAACACTTTTGAAAAGTATCTTTAACATATTTAGATTTTTATTATTATTTAGTAATTAGGTATATTTAAACTTAGGTTAATTTAGAGCACAATATTTGATTTCCACAACTTATTAAACGAATTTTACGTGAAATATCAATTTTCATATCTTACTTTCATACGTAAAGAGATTTTGTGGTAATGGATGCATGGATCTTTGATATTCTTTCACAGTATAATTTATTTACTTCTACAATATAAATTTATGACGTGTTCTTTATAAACTTATATTATATAACTAAAAACAATCACATAATAACTACTGGACAGAATCGAATGAAATTTGGTACACAGACAGATAATATTTTACATAAACACTTTTATTCATTACAAAAACTATAATAACATCCATATTAACGTATAAATGAGAATGTGTGTCTGTTGCCGTTTTACGACTAAATGTTTGAACGAATTCTAATGAAATATGACATCATAATAGATTTTATCTCGAAAATACGGAAAATGTACAGGATAACTACTCTACTACAGATAATTATTTTACACGTCATGCACTAAAATACTATGATGACTTCCTGTTATAAAATAATTATTACGAAGTATGTCATACACTTATGACTCAGTTAGCTTATCCAGTATCTCGATATATATATCAAATCAAATCAAAACATCTTTCTTCGAGTAGGTCTATTACACACTCTTATCAAATCTACCGTTAGATATACAGACGTTAGAATTTTGAATAAATGAAATTCCGTTAACCTATCGAGGTGACTTCACTAGTAATACGGTCAGGTAGACGGCCTCGGTGGTCTAGCGGTTTAGCACACGGCCTTATTTCCGATAGTCGCGAGTTCGATTCCTCGCACGACACAAACAATTTGTACGATTGTTTGTGTCAGTCTGGATGTTTCTATATATAATATTTAGGTATTTATAAAAAAAATGATATTTATGTATTTGTATCAGTTATCTAGTACCTACAACACAAGCTTAATCTAGCTTAACTTGAGACTAGACGGCGCTGAATTATCCTAAGATTATTAATATTATTATTTTATTAAGTACTAGCGGTGCCCGCGATTTTACCCGCATGAAATTTATAGCTTATGTGTTATTCTGATGTATAAGCTATTATATTATATATTACTGTGAATACGTTCAATTTAAAAACAATATTGGTAAGTTTAATGGATCTGTTTGTATCAATTCAGATATAAAATATCCATATATAATGTTACTTTGGGACATAGTTTACATTAGTATGTAAATCCATTTAAATTAATTAAATAATTTTACTCAATTTCTTTAATAAACCGTTATAATTTCCCATCTACTATATCAATACGATTGTCGGAAATTTTGGCTAATAATGGAGTATTTGCTGTTACTAACAAAATTACCATGTTAGACAGACCGAAAACACCTAGACAATACTCGTGAATACAAATATTTGTACTGTGCGAGGAATCTAATCCGCGACAATCGGAAATAATGCGCTGTGCTAAACAACTAGACCACCAAGGCCGACGGAATTTCATGCTTATGTCATCCTTTACTGGCTGCAGCAGTCATTAGAGCAGGCGAGTACATCACTCCATGTTCTAATATTATAAGAATTAAAGAATAACATAAAGAAGATAATCATAATATTTGCCATCGTAATGCGCATAGAGTGGATATGCAGGTAATTGTAACACGACCAATCCTGACACAAATGACATGAAAACAAATTTTGTACGGTGCGAGGAATTGAACTGGCCGAATTCCTGGTGAAGTGACCATGATGGTCTGACGGACTTTCTCACTTATCATATTATCTTCTACTAGCTCCAGCAGCCGTTAGAGCAGGCGAGGTAAATACATTAAAAAGAGTACCATAAAGAATATAATCATAATATTTACCATCGTAATGCGCGTAGGGTGGATATGGCGGTGCAGGTGGTTGTAACACTACCAGGGCTGCAGCGTCAGGACTGGCGGCAGCCGACGGTGGTTCCCCACCGGCACCGCCGTTTGATCCCGTTGAATCATTCGTTGCTGCAAAAAGATATACTTATTTATTTATTAGAAAACCAACAGCTTACATTAAATTTACATTTCAATTCATTCAGAGAAAGCCAATAACAGACTTTCAGAGACTTGGCAAAAGAAAAACAAAATGTCGTGGCAAACGGAATATTTTTTTATTATTATGTTTAGTTTTAAATATTTATGACATTTTTATTAAATTATTATTTGCACAATTTGACTCAACACTTCCTATGCAACGCTCTATTGGGTTGAGAAGATGAAAAGAAAATTAATCTAACGAATTGGTTTCATACGAATTAAATATTTTTTATTGAATCGAAATGGTCTCTGGATAAATATTTCTTTAAAGTTGTTTTTTTACTTTTTTGTTTCATACATATTATTATAGTTTAGTATATACTAAAGAAAACGTCAAAAGGACAAATACCTATACCAATATTATATAGAGGTAAACTTGGTTAGTTTTTTAGGCTGTAAAGGTTATCTCTGGATCTACTGAACCGATTTTGTAAATTCTTTTAGTCTTGGATAGTCCATTCATCGACAACGACTTCATGGTATATAATATCACGCTTCAACCATTAGGAGCGGAGCTGCAACGAAAAATGTACCAAAAACGGGCAAACTGTGATGCAGACGAAGTTGCGACCGTAAGCTATTTTACAAAAAAATTATTCGTATTGAGACCGGATTTACGAAAAATAAACTGTTATTAAATGATGATTCATCATCTGCTTCTTCTTTATCCCATTTATTTAGGGTCGGCGTTTTTTCAAGTTTTCTCCTTCATTCATCTCTGTTCGCAGTCATCTCGTTATTTACTCCATTTCTCACCATAACAACTTTCACATAGTCCATCCAACTCATTTTCGGTATTCCTCTACCCTTATAACATTCCACATTCATATGTAACACCTTCCTTAGGATATGATCTTCATTCCTACGCATTATATTGTTATTAAATGATAATTATGATCACTAAAAATGTCTGATGCTTTCTTATTATATTGAAATGTACCAATAAACATCCGGAAGCATATACGAAAAAAAGATTCATCATAAAACCGCACAGTAGTTGGTGTAAAGTCAACGACCCGTGGCATCACAATAGCATGTGATCTAGTCAGGTGATCCATGGATCGTGTTTCGTGCGCGAGCGCATCGTGTTACTGGGAGGGGAGACTGGGCTCCATTCACAGGGAGGATGTGGTCAATCTGGTGGGATTTATCTGAGGCAATGAGGTTTTAGTTTCATTGACAGATTCATACAGGATATAAAAGCTATGTATATTAGGTGATAGATATCGAAATAGACTTGTATAAAAAGTCACCTACATGGGTACCTCAGTTTCAGTTATTTCGTCAGACAAAATTTGTAGATAAACTTACCTAATATAATGTTGATTTATTTATTACCCTTTATTGCACTTTAAATATAATTTCTACGAAAAGCAGTCTTATCGCTTTCGTCTTATCTTTATCCGTCATACTCGTGAACGGGTGTTGCTTGTAGGGACTGGTCTGTTCAGGTTACGAACACTGATTAGATTTTTTGCTTTTGCAATAGCATATGCTGGTGGTCACTCTATTCTACCAAATTTGAATTTGAAAATGAATTATTGTTAACATGTATAACATTTATTTGAAAAGAATACGAACTGAGTTTCTTGTCAGTCGTCATTATCTCGAAATCATTCAGAACTGACGGTATATTTGACATATCATAAGAGTCTATTATAGACTTAAATGAATAAAGATATTTTGAATTTGAATTTGATATAATAGCTATATTAGATGACACATATAGAAACAGATTTTATAAAAAGTCATCTACGTGAGTACCTCAGTTTCACTTAATTCGTCAGACAAAATTTTAAGAAAAACTTACCTAATACAATATTTATTTATTATTATTTATTGCACTCTAAATATAATTTACTTATATTGTACGTAAACATGTACAAAAGGTAGTCTTATTGCTTAAGAGATCTCTTACAAACAACCTTTGAGTAGAACAGAACAGACAGAAGGTGGTGGATGCCGCATGAATGGAAAGAAATAAACATAAAAATCAATAAAATCATTTGGATATCCACAAATTCCCATGTGATAACAAAACAAACAAGAAATCATTCGGCGCTCATTATGAAATTGATGACCACAAAATGGGCTGCGGTCGGTTGCCGGAGATCCATCGGCATGGGAAGCATTTATTACTATATTTCTTATAGATCTGATTTATAAAATACTAGTTTTTACCCGCGGATCGGTATGCTTTTAAAAGTCTTCGTGGTACGAATCTATATATACTAGTTATAAGACCGGCTTTTGTACCTAAATAAGGTATAAATAATCTTATTTTTTTTATTATTTTAAGGTGCAATAAAGAGTAATAAGTAAATAGTATTCCTTTTGTATGTAGAGAATCATTTATTATCTAGTAGGCCGTGAGTCCAAATGTAATAAAGACCAAAAACTTTGAGTCAATTTATATTCCAGATTGACACTCCGATAAAAAACCACTAATATGAGACTCGGCCAAGTGAAATGGTAATATCCCATAAATATTAGGCGTAGACAACCCTTATCACTCAGAGGTAAGAAAAATAGATAGTAGCCGATTCTTAGACCTACGCATATTCAGTTTAGCATATAAAATTCAAGCTTCTAACATTTTTTTAGCACGAGACTTTTATATATATGAAGATATAGTTTTATTCAAGGTGGTAATAAGAATACCACCGCAATGAGTTGGGAATCTCGGTGACAGTTAGCCCGTGCACTATGGTAGGGCATGTCACCGCAAACTTTCAGGGCGTGTCTAATAATGGCTTGATACCACTTAGCGGAATGTGGCGGATCCGTTAGTTCGTCACGAGTCGAATTAAAGGTCATGGTTTTTATGTTTCGTTTCACTTTGCTGATGATTTCTTGTGGCGTTCATACGTGGACGATAATTACTGATATTTTTTTAAAGACTTCAAAAAAATATATGCCTTCAAACTACAGTCTATGAGCTGTGCTCGCGGTTTCACCGTGTGAAATTTATGGTCTATGTGTTATTCTGATGTATAAGCTATATTTTTGTAAAGTTTCATTAAATTCCATTCAGTAGTTTTTGCGTGAAAGAGTAATAATCCATGTTTATAGATAAACTTTCACGTTTATAATATTAATAAGATTTTACTATTCTCCTATCGTCCGGATAGTAGGCGAGTGCAGATGGCACTCCAAACCCACGGAATCACTCATGAAGTGGCTGAAGGCCAATTCCATCCTGACGGGTACTACTTTAGTCTGAGGGCACCAATAGGGGTTCTAACCTTGGTTCAGGGCGTCGTAATGTTGATCCCCGTTTGAATTGGATGGGGATCCATTGAAGGGGAGGCAATATAGGCATAGATCCGATAAAATATTTATCACTAGTAGGAAAGGTCGTACTTTTTTTATGTGGTTCATTGGACTATTGTCAGGTGCTTGCATGTAATTAGTTACTAGTTTAAATGTATTGGGTATAACAATTGCTGGGAGAACCTAATAAAATAAGACAGGTCTAGCTCTGTTTAGATCTGGACCGAATGCAGTGTGCAAATAGACAGAGTTTTTTTTTATTAAGGGATTTGAGCTAAAAGATCTGTATCACTGCGACCTGTATAGATCTATTGTGCTCACTCCTTTTCAGAGTTCGCTACCTTGACCCGTCAGGGACAAGAATTGAAGAATATTCTTAGGAGCGATTGTTTTTATCTTCTCAGGAAGAGTGTAAACTTTCCAGAGGAAAAAGAAAGTTCGTAACATGGAGTAGATTTAAATATCTAGAATATTATTTAAAAGTCTTTTTTTTAATACATTAATTGTATTTTAGGAGCGATGGTTTTTATCTCCTCGGGAAAGAGTGTAATCTTTCCAAAGGAAAAGGAAAGGTTGTAACATGTAGCAGATTTAAAAACCTAGAATACTATTTAAAAGTCTTTTAATTTTTTTTTAATACATTAATTGTATTTTAGGAGCTATGGTTTTTATCTCCTCGGGGAAGTGTAAACTTTCCAAAGGAAAAAGTCGTAACATGTAGGTAGTAAATTTAGAAACATATAGAAAAATAAGTCTAAATTTTTATTATATATTATTTCTATTCTATTCTGTTCTATTTTAAATGGTATTTAATACAGATACAGGTACTTACCGGAATGGGGTGTATAATGGGGATGCGCTGCATGTTCGTATGGTGCGTCGAATAGATCTCCATAATAACCTGTCGCGCCTCCCGTCGCTCCCCCCAACTCTGAGAGTAGTTTATACTCGTCTTTCAGACTCCATTTAGATGAAGACCATAGCTGAAAAGATCAAAGAATGTTAATATTTTCAATATACATTTAACGACCCTTATTGTTTAGCGGTTACAACATTAATAACTTTGGAAACACCTACATAAGTGGACAATGTATATAAAATAGCTTTTAAAAAAAAGGAAATTTAGTTGAGATTTTACCAGTTCTTTTCAATTGAATCTGTAGGTATACTGAACTGGACGGTAGGGAAGGTCTGAATTAGACGTTCAAAAGCGGTTATGAAGTCTACAAGATTTTTGATTTGATTTGTTGGATTATTTTTTTTGAAGTTTGAATCCCGCGCAATCCAATTTGTATGATATGAATGAATGAATATGACGGTTTGTATTGTATGAGTCTTGTCTATATTCATATTATAAAAGTGTTCATTTTTAGTCATTTATTTTTTACAGTAATAATTTGTCGATTAAATTCAATTTACATTAATATTTTTTTCCAAATACTTCTTTCTATGATAAAAATTACAATAGCAAATGATAATTCTAATTATATAAATGTCAAAATTTAACAAACAACTAACATTCAAACATATTTTAAATAAACATTAATGTTTTCCTTAATGTCATCCCACGCATGTAATGGCGGGCGGAAGTGGCGTCGTTACCCGCCGTGCCATCCGTCAGCCGAACAAGATGGCGGCTCTGTTTACGCGCCAATTCGCGCCGAATTACACCTGTTTTCATTAATCGCTCAACTAATGAGCGGGTTCTGTTTCGGTTAACAGGTTACCTTTCACCTATGGTTTTGGATTGTATTTCAAACTTTTAGTGGAATTATTTAAGTATTTTAACGTTTTTTTATTTATATGAGAGAGACTCGTCCCGCTATACAAAAGTCGCTTCAAATTGACCGTCCATTGATTGATCATCTATTGACGAAGCATAAGCTACAGTCACTCATCTTGCTAAAGATTACTATAACCTATTAAGGTTACATTACAACGGACAATAAACTAAAATGTTATTGTTCTAAAGTCTGTTTCTTTTTTATCTTGGTATACTGTGTAGACACAAAAAAGAAAGCTAAGCATCTTGTTCTGTTTTTAGATTTCAATAGTGAATTGATTTAAGCCATTTATGTACTTACATTTGAGTATATTTGGTCGCCATTGTAGTGACTTCTCTGTCTCTTCACGTCGTCTTCCGAATGGCTGTTGAAGTCTCTATTCTCATCTACAACAAAAAAAATTGAGTTGTAGATAACGTAGTTAAGAAGCGATACACACTAGAAACATTTAGCGCCATTACTTTAACAATAGCTTTTTTTTTTAATTCATAAACAAAAAAAAATGAGTCACCAATTTTGTTCCATACAGCTTTACTACATATTCTAATGTACGGAAAAAATCAGCTGGTTTTCACTGACACTAGTGTGTAAATGAGATAGCATTATTTTTATTTTTAAAAATATTAAAATTGCGTAAACAATATAAAACTTGATATTAACTTCTCATATATAAAGTAAATTCCTGCCAAATTTATATTTTTTGTAGGTTGGTACTCTCTAATTTTTATAATCATATTTGTAGTTATTGTATAGGAAAATTAGGAAATTTCGTATGTACAAACCTTAATTTTAGCTTGATTGTAGGTAAAATTTCAAAAAACAAACCTCTCACGATAATGTATAAAAAAATTGTCAATTAGTTACGTAGATAATTTTCATATAAGCACTGATTTAAAAAGGTTTAAGCTTTGGTTGTGACACTAACATATGATGATTTAGTCAGGGATGTCGCTGACTGCTAATGATTCTATCGACTTACATCGCATCGCAATTTGTAGTTCCTACGCATTGCAATCGCTGGTATTCGAGCAACTAAAAATTGTAGACTAGCGATTCTTTGTAGCGCATAACAGATTTGAGCAACTGAATCGCAGTCATTAAGTCTGCCATGTCTATTGCGGACTTAATGCCTGATGGCATGTATACACATGGTGGACTTAATACCTGATGGCATTCTCTACCAGTCAACCGTCGCTTTGCCACGGTATATATAAGAGGGTTAATTTTGGAAGCGTTCTTCTGATGGATCTGATACCTAAATTAGTTCTTTTATTATTTTTATTTGATTAACGATTATTTATATATATTTTGTCGAATAGCAATCGATACTAATAGTAGCGTGTGTACATATAATATGAATAAACGTCACAGATGAATAAACAAAAGGCTGGATGGCTCCAAATTAGGGAACGAAAAGTGGAATTTTCGAAAAGTTATAATAATAAAGCGAGAGTTAGTGCAGTAAATTTAATAGCTCAGTAAATCTTGGTGGTTCCGCACACTGGGCAGCCGCTTGATGGTGTAGGGATGGGCAACTACAATTTTGTGGATATCGATAATTTCGAAGTACTTCAAATTGGTAATTGAAAAATATATCGGGAGTACAGTTTGTTTATATATTATTATTATTTTTATGATGTATATTTAAAACTCGATAGTGGATGAAATTCTTGAGGTATATACAAGTGAACTATAATTTAAAATTGATTTCTTTTTTATTATTCAGTAAGAAAAAATAAACACGAAATCTTTTAAATATTGATTTTTATATTTCATCTTTTTTCATCAACTTTTTTCTTTTTTCTTCATCTTGACAATATCGAGAGCATTTAATGTCTTAACTACGAATTATTACGAATTAGTTTTTTTTTCTATTTTTCTAATGCTTTTACAGCTTCACTGGGTGAACGTAGAATGTAATCCAAACCCGCGAAAGAATTTATAAATTAGCTGAAGGCCAACTCCTGCCTTACGGATACTTTAGAATTATTTATCGATAAATTTATAGACATTTCACATCACTAGACAATTTTAGGGGCACGGTCGTCTCTACAGGGCCCCCTCAAGTACTGTACCATTACTTACAAGTTTTCTTAACACTGTCTACATAGAAAGAGTTTGTCGAACTAGGCCCCGACGGGACGTACTCAGGACTAAAGGATTAAGGGGCCCAAGTTTAATTTTATGAAGCAATTAACTGTGATAATGGTTAAGTAGTGCTGAAAGTTTTACAAGACAAACTTATTGTTACTAACTGTTAAAAAAAACTTGTTTTTACCTGTGGCTTCCTCTATATTCATTACAATGAAAGAATTCTACATGTCGAGGTACAAAATGGTTTATAGTATGTGCTTTTTTTATGAATATAATTTTCTAACAACTCACATTGAAATGACAGTTCGTACCCTAAAAATTACAATAGCTATACCTTCAACCCCGTAATTTTCTTTAAAGTAGGAATTTATTTATATATGTATACCAAGGGAAATAACGATATATATATCCCTATTTCCCTTAGTCACAGCATCGCCACCGGGCCGATTTCGCTAATTCTTTTAAATTGTTTTTATTATTATCAGTAATGTCAAGACTTATGAAAGTAAAATGAAAGTTATGGAACATTCAAATCAAATCAAATCAAATCAAATTTATTTGCACTAAACATAGGTTTACATTGGTTGTTATTGTAATATAATGTCCCATTATGTTTTGCCTCATTAATGCAAAATATATAAATTTTAAATATTATTTAATTATTAAATCAATTGTCATCAGAGAATTATAAATACATATTATTATTATTACATTATTATTAATTTAAAAACTCGTTTACGGAGTAAAAACACACAACATTAGAAAACTAATTGTTAATCCAATATTCATAGTTAAGACATGACAACTTCTATCGTATAACTATATACGTATATAGTACACCTTTATTCTTGTCCAAACTAACTATAGATCTGACTAATCGCAAGTGTCTGATATTAGATCTACATGAATAAAGATTGATTATATGTCAATATATATAGTAAATCTTTATTTTTGTCCGAACTAACTATAGATTTGACTAGACTATGATGGCAAGTGTAGTGTAACGATATTAAATCCACATGAATAAAGAATTTTGATTTGATTCTGTCACAAACCTTGGTCTTCGTGCCTCTTCCTCTTCAAGCCCGTCGCGTTACCATTGTGCAGACCATCGACCTGCTCGATTCCGAGGATACCATTGATGCTATAGCTGCCGGTGTTCGTGACATGCTGCTCCGTGGTTGGGGACAGCACCGCCGTTGTACCCGGCGCGTTGCCGGCATGTGTTATCACCTGGTAATCGAAATTACTGATAAGGTCTTCCGCATACTTACAGATATAGGAAAATATAAAAAAATCACAAGTGTTCGTATAGTAAACAGAACGTTTATATAATAGAAAAGCGCTAAATATAATCAAATTAATGCTAATTATATAGAAATAAATCAGCAAAAATAAAATAAATTTTATTTTTTATAGCAATAGACTACTTTAATATAGTACTCTATTGCAAAATATCCCTGGATAATTCACATGCTGCCATCTAGTCCCAAGCAAAGCAGAAGTTGTTAAAGGTACGAGACAACTGATATATAGATATAGAAAGAAAGAAAGAAAGTAAAATATTTTATTCAGTGCAATGTAAAAAATACAATATAAACAAAACGAAAAAAAAATATTGGCTTTAGTAATAATATTGTCTTGGTACTAACAGAGACGACGCTGCCTTGCGCCGAGCTGATCTCCTGCTCCTGTTGTTGCTGTTGCTGCTGATTGTGAGCATGCTTCGCCTTCTCTGCTGCTTTGTTCCTCACGATCCTATGAACAAATTTTAATTATTTATCATTTTGCACATGAAATGCCATCAGACATTAAGTCCGCCGTGTGTATATATGACGAATTTAATGCCTGATGGCATATATGCACATAGCCGACTTAATGCCTGATGGCATGTATACACATGGTGAATTTAATGCCATCAGGCATTATCTACCAGTCAACCATCGCGATGCACACGAGATATATAAGAGGGTTAATTTCGGAAGGCTTCTTCTTCTGATGAATCTGTTTTCTAAATCAATTCATACCGGAAGTCCATTTCACTTAATTAATGTATCTAAAGTATTTATTTAAATTCCGCTACAATTAGCGAAAATTTATTGTGAGAGCACAAATATTTGAGTCCACACCCACACTGCAGTGTGCGGGCAATCATAGGAGTTTTGATCTCTGTTACATTAATTTTAACTGACAAGCAGCTTATTTTGTAAGATGTATTTTGCTTGAAAATCATATTAAAAATACATATAGAAGCAATCTTGTCGATCCTTGAATAAATTAAGTATAATAACAATTTTCACCATTAGCAGGACTTAATATTATCGTAATTATGTACAATGACATGAATATTCCATTACCGATCCCCCAAAAAGTATAACTACACACATCAATAAAAAGTTGCGGTCTGAATGCATACCGCGAGTATACAGACGGTACAGTAAATCATGGGGCACGTGCCTCTACATCCTTTCTCAATAACGCGAGCGGTGGCAGGAATTTGCCACGCTTCCGAAATGCGTTGTTTGTAAGTCGGCGACAAAAAAGTGGACGCGTGCGCGGTTTGCCTTATGGCAAATTGCTTTTACTATAATTATGAATTTGACTTTTTTTTATTCCGCTTCTAATTTTAATATATTGTCATATATCACATTTACTAGACTCAAAATTTATACAAGATCAGCTTGGGTAGCTATATCTACCCAAGCTACCCTATATAGCTAGCTAACTTTGCAAGCTGGGGGAAGGTAGTAATGTGGACTAGCAATAGAAATAGAAATAATCTTTATTCAAATAAACTTAATAACTATAAGCATTTTTGAATAGTCAAGTTTTTTGATTCTACCGCTCATTCGGAATACAGACTCGAGAATGAGCAAGAAACTTGTGTGTTGCGCTTTTAAATAAAAAATGGGTACATTGGGGGGACCGCGTGGAAATCATCATGGTAAATGGCCATTTGCCATATGAGCTAGCTGTCCTGGCTTCATGCTCATTTTATCATTCTCCACTGATGTCCCGTGTAAATCGTTAGCGCAGGCGGGTGCATCATTCCATGCGTAAAAAAAACTGCAGGTAATAATGATTTGAAAACTCAGATATTCAAAATCATAAGGTATAGATATAAATTTCTAGACCACAGAAAAGGGAACGAATGAACGAACGACAGTGGCAATGTATTTTGTGATATTTTTAACTTGTTTTTTTTTTAAATCTTTAAATCTATGTAGGGCAAATGTAAAACCTTTTTGATATAACATACATATATATTATATTAATACATGACGCAAAAACTTTGTACATCTTTTTATGAATAGTGCGCGGATGGAAGAATATGAAATTTCGCAAACTTATAGTTTGTATAGAGAAGGAGTGCAAATTCCAATTTTTTTTTTAATTATGTATAATAAAACATCAATTCACCAAAAAAAAATACACACACTATTACTGTATTTGACACATACGGCTATATACTCTTTTGTTTACTGCCAGTGCCTGTACTTATAGAAGTAGTCTTTGACAATAAAACCTTAACAATGTTCAAATTTATAATTAAAATTATAAATAATTTTAATTATATATTTGAACATGGTTGAATATTGACCACTAATAAATATAGACATAAGAATATATGATTGTTAAGATTCAATTTAATGAAGAGATGTATTTATATAAACTCGCTTTAAAAAAGAAAATCATGAACCAAATAAAGGTAAAACATGTGCATGCAAGCGCCATGACATTATTTTGTTTCGCGGCTATTTCCACGGGCACCCGAGTTGACAGTTCATTCCCGCCATGATGGATAATGGCGGCTAAAATGGCGGGCTCTGAATTATTGCCAGTATCCAGCCGGTTGACATATGCAAAAATTGTTTTGCAAACTTATCAAGGAGGTCAGATTGCACGTAATAGAGTCATCACTTCGGAGGGGAATGTTTTGATTGATGATATTAGATGTATTTTTTTGTACTTCTCGCATATTATTAACTACTAAATGTGCTTTGGATGTTTATAAATTAATCTTAAAAATAGATATGTTTTTTATGTAATTGCAGTGGCAAATAAACTTACGGTCCATCTGACGGTAAATGGTAAACATCGTCGATATATTGTGTTTTCATTCTAGAATACTAAGATGTTATAACTCTTTAATGTATTAATATAATTTAAATAAATAAATAACCCTGGACACTTAACACATCGCCATCTACTCCCAAGCTAAGCAGAGCTTGTGTTAAAGGTACTAGACAACTGATATAAATACTTAGATATATATATATTTTTATAAATGCATAAATAATATATATAGAAAACACCCAGGCCGATACAAACAACCATACTCATGAATACAAATGTTCGCACCGTGCGAGGAATTGAACCTGCGACCATCGGAAGTAAAGCGGTGTGCTAAATCACTAGACCACCGAGGCCGTCAATTACACTGCCCTACAATCTAAATACAGTTTACAAAGCAATCTGTTTGGTGGCTGAAATAGCGTATGCTGTTAACCCAGACTACTCCAACATTCCGTTGTCATCATTAAAATAAAATTAATTATAAAAAAAAATAACGACACATATTCAATAGCGAATAATTATATAGAAAAAGGGAAAAGGTAATATATATTTTTATTTAAATAAACTTAATACAAGCAATTTGGTCATAACTTGCGTTTGAGCTATTATTATATTACTAGCTACCCACCCCGGCTTTGCACGGGTGTACATGTATTATACATATAAACCTTCCTCTTGAATCACACTATCTATTAAAACCGCTTCAAAATCCGTTGCGTAGTTTTAAAGATTTAAGCATACATAGAGACGGACAGACAGCGACAGCGACTTTGTTTTACACTATGTACCTAATGATAATAACGCGCGAAGCAAAATCCGCGCATTTTCGTAAAACTTTGTAACTCACGCATGTAAATCTAAAGGATACGGTTAGTATGTAACATAACCACAAAGCCGTAATTTTATTTATTTATTTTTTTTTTTAATTCGGATTACATCCAATACGGATGTAATCCGAATTAAAACATACTAACCGTATCCTTACGGATTTTTACGAAATTGTGCGGATTTTGCTTCAATCCGAATTCAGTCCGAATTAAAATAAATAAAAGTAAACAACTTATAAAACTATGTTAGTAACGTATAATATGCAGATACAGATATACACTTAATTCATATATCTGTGTCCACGTCCAGAAGCACTGGGTCCACAATGCAACGATATCCAATGCCTCTAGAGACGATCTATATATTCGCAACAGTTAGGATGCTGTTTATGGTCCTTCGAATTCTAGACATCAGTGATTTTTTTCAGCTCTTTTGCGCATTATGGCTTGAAATCCATCTACCCGCGCCGCTGCAAACATCTCTGATCCGCTACTAATACAACCCTTGCGAAAATTGCAAAAATATTCAATTGCAGAGTTATATTTCCGAAATAGGGGTAGTCATAAGTTAGGTTATAACATCCGGAAGGGTAGCCAGCGTTCATGTTTCATCCCTATAATTTTATTACTCTTTCTTTGAATTGCAAGTGGCCTATTGTGGAAGTTCAACAGATTTATCACTGGCGCCATGTTTTTATGTTTGAGTTGGGAATAAAATAAAATTATTGTTTGAAAAGGTAAGATTTAATGTTTTGCAAATATATTTCTTTGTAATGAGTAAACTCAAATAATATTTAGCATAAAAGTAGCCTAAGTTACTCCTTATTACATCAGCTATCAGCCAGTAAAAGTCCCGTCAAAATTGGTTTAGCCATTTCAGAGATTAGCCGGAACAAACATACAGACAGACATACAGACAAAAATTGTAAAAAATGTTATTTTGGTGTATGTACCGTATATATGCATGTAGTAAAAAACGGTTATTTCAATATTACAATTATATGTATGGATATATAGATAATTACTTTATTGATTTGTACAGATTTCAATTATATATATTTTTTTGGTATCTGCTGAAATTATCTGATATTTTCCAATCATGTTTATGCATATTTCATGTTGCGACTAAATAAATGCATATTACAAGATGAGAGATTACGTTATTCGCGCGTCAACACATTTTCCCCTCGGAATTATCTTACGCGACAAATTATTCAGTTTGCCAGGCGAAAAAAAATCAAATGTCAAAGTGGGGTTGCCAGAGTTATAGCTTCAATTACCCGGCGGCGGGTCCTCGATTAAAAATGTCTTGGTTGTTTGCAACTCCGCATTATTTCTTTTTTTTACAAACCAACTGCGGGTTTTCTCGTTTTATTAGTGTGGGTTTTATATTTTTTTATTATGTACCTACTAGCTACGACTGCGAGTTTGTAACGTTGTCAAAAAATTAACGTGTATTTTTTTATAATAAAAAGAAGTATTTATACTTCTACGGAATATAAATAAAAGACATTTTATTTATATTCCGTATTGCATTTTGAATTATTAAAGCAAGTAATTCGCGATGATTTTCAGTGGGACCACTATATGCAATTAACTCTACTATTTTTCAACAGATTGGAGAAAAACAAACTTGATATGTCACGGAAACTTAGTTATTATACATTAGGAAATAATTCATTAAATCGCACGCACACATAGTGCGGTTAATCCGTTTCTTAGATATATATTATAAAAAAACGGCAGCTTGGCAGCAGAAATATTAAGAATAGACAGATATACTCACGCAGACGACTTTGTCAAAGTCTCGGTATCTGCTTTACTTTTTTTTTTAACTTCGTTTTTAAGGTACAT